TGTCTTTTAAATTTCGCCAGAACCGAGTCATCCATTCGTATCAAAATGAAGCTTATAACATGAGAGGGAAATAATCAAGGCCATCAGCAACTTTCTCTGGCATTCGCCCAATGTTTGTCCAACTATCTGCGGCTATTTCGGATTTGGCTTTGGGGTCTGGGCTTTGGGACTCAATGTTGATTGTTTGGGTTTTGTGTTGTGTATTTGAAATTTTTGTTTGCCATTTTAAGGCCGGCTGTAAATGAGATTTTTCTCACATTTGCTTCTCCTATCACTGGCATCCTTCCTTGTTTGTTTTTCGCCGTTGGCATTCTAATAGCAATTTTATCTCGGACTATGGGAAAGAAAAGAGGGGGACAGAGGGTCTTAGCCAGTTTTTCAGTGTGTCCAGTGATTACAGTCCAGGGTCTGTAAGTCTATAAGTAATAATCAACTTTTGTGGAGGACAGCGGAAAAGGTTTCTTGTGACAGTTCCTTGTGGAAAGTTCTGGCGCAGGAAAAATAAACAGAGAACTTCAATTAGAGGGCTCAGAAATGGAAGGAAAATTGAAGGGTGGATAGATGGGGAACGATAGAAGGCATTTCAATACATAATTGAAAACTTTCATTTCATTTCAACGTAAGAGTAACAACTGCACAAGCAAAACCTATTAGGATTCAAGATATCATACATTCAAAGGTATATTATGGATATGGCAATTTGTTTAAAAAATCTTGCATTGGTTCAAAATTGTAATTCATTTAGTATCAGAAGCACTTCATACTGAAAAAGTTCCATGAATACATATCAATCCTTACTAGGATTTTCTCTAGGTGCACAGTAATAATTGGTAGCTAGTTAAACAAATATTTCCATTAAAGTTCTCAACAACAGGGCTCAAAAGCACAACCTTTGATTGCCTAATCCCTTGCTGCGGAACTCCATTGCCCGACAGAATTGCCAACCAAAAGGATTTCTGTTCTCGTTCTTTATTCCTTTTCATCCTTATCCCGGCTAAAAGCAAACCTTTGACATGGCCGGCATGTCCGAATGGTAAAACATTAACTCAACTAAGGAACTTCATTATTGGGCCGGGTGCTAATAAATCTTTTGAGTCGTTCTACCTTTTGACTCCTGCCGGCAACAATGAATCATAATGAGTGCTCGACGCTGGCCAAACACCCGAACAGACAAAGGACCCCAGAAATCAACATTCATGCAATGTTGTACCCACCCAAGGAAAGCCATAGCAAACCAAACAAGAGTCGGGCCAAGAAAGCTAAGCTGTGGCCAAGTCGTAACATTATGGCGTGACGGCAAAGTAAGCAATAAGGCGTAGCATAAATTAGCCGAATAAACACAAATGAAACAAAAGGCGAAAACAACTTTAATGTTTGTTAAGCAAATATTATCCCCGGGCTGGGGGTTTTCTGCTCGGTGGTGGAAGGGGTTGTCCTAGAAGTTGCCCCTCTGGTTATGTTAGACACGTTTTTGTTGCTGTTGCCAAGCCCCCAACAACAATGAAACGTCTTTATGTGACGATTATCTGAACATAACCCAGGCCCAATGTGCAATTAACTGTGCCATCTGACTTCGGTGGGCGTTTTGCTTCCGTTCCCAAATATGACATACGGAAATATATGACCAGAGATTCTGGAGTCCTCCATTTCGGAAAGGCCTTCCCGGCCGTAAACAAAATTTGAAGAGTCTAAATGGAAAATATGGTCATGAGAAGGGCTTTTTGCAGTCGGGAATTGTTCATCTATTTGAATTACTATAAAGTCCCAGTATTAGAATTTAACAAATAACATTTATATTTATTTTGGTTCAAAGTAAAAAATGTTTACCTCTCTTTCTATTATTTGTCAACTGTTGTATAGCAAATAAAATAAACCAAATATCAAAGGCAGGCAAAAAACAGAGTTGCTAATTAAAAAACGTTTGAATTTGTGCAAAAAATATATAGAGTTTACTGAGTAAAGTTTTCCTGGCATCTAATTAAGTCATCTGTGTGACTAATTTAATACATTGATATTTGTTTTACAAAATTAAAATAACAATAAGTGAAAACGCGATAGATTACACGCTTAGTGAATCAAAACACATTCTTTTTAATGAGTTTTTGTTACTCACAGACATCTTTTAGCCACATACTCGTATTTGTAGTCCTTGGTTAAACCATTCAATCACATTACGATGTCCAGTAAAACGAAAACGCATAAACAGTGTAAACAGCACGCAGTAAAATCCCAAAAAGCAAACGAATTTGATGTCGCAAAATCTCTCAATTATTCCTAATTTATTGGCATTTTATGAACAGCATATGGGCCGCATGCAGTATATCATTGCCTGCCCGAATCTCCAATGAAACCCATCGAATCGCCCACACAGATGGAGATGGTAATGCGCTTAGAGAAAAGCCAGCAACCGACAGAGTCATTTCCATGCATATAGGCTTCCCGGAAAGGCTTAAGCCCCCCAACTCCCCCTCCTGCCATTCAAGCCCTCAAAAAATCGAGTACTTCTCCGTTTTCCAAAGGGAAAAAAGGTAAATATGATGTGAGGCGCCTATTGAATCGAATTTGTTGACTAGCGTTTTTGTAGAGCGCTTTTCCCCACCACAAAGCCTTCAAATCTGTCACAGCTGCTGTCACACACTGCAATACGAACATTTCCTGTTTTTTGGTTTTTTTTTTTTTCGTTTGATAGTTATGCAACAATATTCGTGCCTAGAAGGACGTTGCGTGTGTCCCGAAATCAATCATACGCCGAAATCGACACAAACAATACAGGCAAACAAAGCGAAAACAAAAACACACCGAAACAAAGCCCAAAGTAATGCGATATTTTTTATTGATTTTCATTGTGTCTCCCTTGGCGAAAGGGGGAGGTGGGGGGCTTTTGCTTGTGGCGCCGATATGAAAAGTACTTGATGTTGGCAATATGCGGGCCCACTTGACTCCGAGCCAATGCCTTTCAAATGCAAAATGCAAAAAGCTTTTAAACTGCAAGCCCTGCTCCCAGGACCATAACAAAATGGCTTTAAAGAGGGTAATAATTGTTCTGCGGGATAAAACCATTTGCTTTCCCATAAAAATACGTTGCATCAGCATAAATTTTGCGATTTCTGATCACATTCAGATCGAAATTTTGCAAAATTAAGGATATTTAGTATTTAAATGGTTTCACTATTTATACTTGGTTAGATAAAAAATATAGCAATTAACCAAAAAAAGCGATATAAACTCAGGTATTATGAATGAGGTATAATATTTTTGATTAATTCGAAACCAAAAATTTATTTTTGTTTCAATTTAATTTCCTTCAATCTTTTAACAAATAAACATTACGTTTAGGTTTACAATACTGTAAAGGGTTCGCAACAAAAATCGTTTTTCCTGCATTGCCTTTGGCAAACAATTTTTCTCTTGGCCTATTTTTTTAGCTTTTTGACTTTATTGTGAGAGGTTGTTTGTGTGCCACTGGTTCCACATTTGTTACTGATATTTTATGACACTGTAAACATTTTACAATGCGAATTCAGCTTCCATGGAATGAGTTCTAGTTGGTACACTTTGAACAGAACGGGTGTGTTTTATCCATTCAATATGCTCAGCAGAGCATCACATGTTTCTATAGCTGTGTCCTTGCAGGTCCTTGCCCCAATCCGCCCCTCGGAAAGTGTGAATATATGTGTGTTTACACACACGCAGTATGTTGCGGGGCAAAGTAAAATTTTCTTTTATTTTTTTGAGGTCAATTAAAACGGGTTGGGCAGAAACGTTCCATTCATTTCATACCCTTCACAACGACTATCAATCATGATTTCTCTTTTTGGCTGCTCCCCAGTAATTAGTTAAGCAGTTACTAATTGAAAACATCTGAGAGATTTGTTTGGCGTTGATTAAGTAAGTTTTCGGACAGCGCATCAAGTGATATTTGTCAAAAAACTGACAATTTCGTGGCGTTGGTGCGTGTATTTCGTTTTCCATCATTAATTACCGAAACGCTCCAGAACGGCTCGAGTTTCCCATGTTCGGCCTGTCAGTTGATTGGACAAGTGGGGGAGAATATTTCGCGGGTCTGGCGAACACGAAAAGCATTTGCTGGAAACGTTGAAAAACTTTGCCAGATAGAGCTGTGGCATTTAAGTGCTGTTGTCCGGGAATTGAGAGAAAAAATGCATAAAAATCGATAGTAATATGATTGAGAAGATTGCTTTAAAGTGGTTATCTTATCTGGCCTGCAACCAAATGGATAGCTTGAGGGAAGTCCGCCATCAAAAGGCTTCAAGACCTCCAGCTTGTGGTGCTCACTTATTAAAAAATGTGGCCTTCGTTGGTTCAATTCGATGCGCTTTTGTTAAATCCTGGCAGTTATCCAACAGTTATTTTTTGGAACATTTTATGTATTAAAAAGATATTGAATCTTGTCATTTTAAGAATTTATTTAACATGTATTATATTTATTATTTCACCACATTTTTTACTTTAACATTGCAAAATAAAAATAAATATAATTTTCCACTAAAATGTTTTTATTTTCATGTATAATATTAAATGAAACAAAATGAAACCTATGGTTATAAGCCAAAATGCAATGCAACCGAATTGCTGTAATCAATAAGATACAAAACATATGGAACCCAAACATTTTTATCATCAGCTTTAAATTAAAATTGAATGGTTTTAACAACACTTTGTAATGGTTTTTACATTTTAAAATCACGCTTTAAGCGAAGGCTTGTACGAACTTTGCATACAACTTTTGCATTTTTTCGGCCAGGGACGAATGCAATCATGATATATTTACACTGCCACAGCCATTGAAGTCGAATAAATTGTCGCAAAAATGCAAAATGAAATAAAATAAATGGCCGAAATTGGGTAGCGTATGGAAAATGTTTAACTATTGATTGATTTTTTTGCGAAAGGAGATTAAGAGCCGCATACCAAAATAGTACTCACTCAATTTATGCGAATGACTTTTAAAGCTTTCAATTTATCTGGTATTTTTTCAGGCCAACTACTTTTTAATGGAAGCCTCTGCAACAGGAATAATAACCGACCCGAGGGAACCAGCCTCATCAGCGACACGATCCCTGTGATGTCCACGGAATGAAAAGGAAACTCGGAAAGTTGTCGTGCCGTTACTGAGCGGAAAAACAGCCCAGAAAAGGCAAAAACTACGAAAAAAAGTGAAAAGAAAATGAAGTCTGTCATTCTATATCCATATGGACCGCTAACCGGCGGCACACGCTGCTGTCGCATGTTGCATGCCAAAAATTTGGCCATAACAAGTGCAATTTACACAATTGTAAGTGTTTACGGGCTGATGAGCTGCCACGGGGGGCGTATACGCAATGTGTACAAGTATGTAATTTGGTTCTCGTTTGCGGAAAATGCCAGGTATAAAAACGGGAAAGCCACGAATAAAAACCGGAGCACGAAATCAGTAGTTGCGGCTGGTATTATATTCGCCTGTTAATTGTGGCATAATTAATAGACAAGTGTCGTTGGCGAGAGTTTTTCTGCAACCATTCAGAATGTGCCGTGGCATACCTCAACCTCATTATTGTTATGAAGGGCTGGGAAGAAGGGGAAACAAGCCACAAAAATTTAACTTATCCGCGAGGGTACTTTTGCTAGTTTGGAATGGAACTATAGGAACCAATAAAATAATTAAAATTATCCCATTTTTCAATTTATTGTTTTTAATTATTGGTTACTTATGTGTATCAATTATTTATCTCCAATTAACAAGCAATGTCCCTTTTTGAATTTATTGAATTTATTAATTTTGAGCTTAAAATGTATAATGCCGTTTCAAAGTTATTTTAGTTATACTCAAGACATACTGGATTTTCTTTAATTGAACAATACCACTAAAATCACAAGGCCTCTTATTATTCCGCTTTATATCTTTATAAAAAAGTGTAATTCAAAATGATTGACCAATAATCCCCATAACGTCTGTCTTAACCAACCCTGACTCCGACAAAAAGCACCAGCAGAAGGGGTCCTTGGGAAATGGATAGACAAAACGGGAGCACTTGCACTCGTTCCTCTCATCTCTCGACTTGTGGCATGTATAAATTACAATTACATGATGCTCGTTATGGCTTTTAATTTATGTTAATGGCCGAATCGTGCTCGGGCTTTTTCATATTATTTTGTACACTTCTTGTAAGGACAATGGAGGGCTGAAGACAATTACAAGAACTTTAGTGCAATGCAACTCGGCGGCAAACAATAGACATATTATACGCGCTGCAATGCCAGTTGCCAACCCGCGGCGAGTAAATTAGTTTTTGTTTAAGGAGCGAACTTAAGTGTTTGGCTTCTGCAATTAGTGCTGCATTTTATGGCAGTTACGAGCACAACCTCGGACGCAACAAGAGAGGCTCCCGTAGCCCCACTTTACTGCCAAGTAAACGTTACGTGTTTAGCATAAGCCGGAGCAAAGGGCCAAGAGGCCAAGAGACCAAGAGGATTTCAGGGGGGGTGGGGGTTACTACCTGGAGTGCAGTCACGGCACATAATGGATGTACCTTAAAAGCACGCCATTTCGCATTTGTTTATCATAGTCGTTGCTTATTTACTGAACGTTGGGGCCTGCCCTTAGGGATTATCGGTTTGGGAATTTGTATTCTCATTATCTCAGCAGTAAAGTGGTTCTATGTGACTGCAGAATCGAATTTTTAAAAAAATATACCTTGACATAAAACCTTACCTTACGTATATCAAACAATGTAACTAATTTAAAAGTTAAAATGTTATATATATATACAATATTTGTGCAGGACCTCTAAAAGTTGTGTTAAAATTAATAAAACTCTATAGAATTCCAAACTGAAAGTATCCAGAATTTAATTAATCAATGAAATTATATACCTACTTCCATAATAATTTTTGATAAGAGCTTTTAACTTCCCTTAAATTTAACAAATCAAGTTTCCAAAATTTTTCCCTTTTCCCACAGCCGAGAGACAGCAGACACGAAAACATTTTCACGGATTAATTAGCAAAAAACCCGAGCCAACACCTCAGACCCTAAAATCAAATTGGGTTCAGACCCGTTTAAAAGTAAAAACGTGTTGTGCAAAAACATGGGAAAGAGTTGGTTCAAATGGGGAGAAAGGGTGGCAGAGAAAAATGAGGGTAGATTTTGATGACCCATGAACCATTTTATATGCGGGTGCTCGCTGCATATGCGTGTCATGTTGGCAAAATACATTTCCCATATCTCTGGTGACTCATTCTTTATTTTCTCCTATGGCTCCTCTAGAATATATCGCTTCTCATCGTACTGATATACTCGTGGCGCATCAATGTCAATATGCACAAGTCGGCGGACCTGCAGGATGTCTACTACGGTAAGTTCAAAGGTCAGGCAATTCTGGCTGGTAATTAAACACACTGAAGCTCGTTTGAGCCAAAACCCAAAGCGGCAATAAACCCGAAAACTGAAACGACAAGCTGCCCCATAATACATAAAGCCATTTTAATAAATAAATTAAATGTAGATGAGAACGGAGGCCAGCCACCCACAGAGGAATAAAAGTGGGTGGTACTAAATGTGGCAGTATGGGTGCGATGTACACAAATTTGAAATATGAGTGCGACGGAAGCTGAACACTTTATTTTTGATTAATGTGATTTAACTTTAATTGGTAATACTTCATTTTCATGCTCGTTCAGCGTTCAATTATAAATGGCTATTAATTAAGTGGGCCAAATAAATTTTTGAAATATGCATTAACTCATAACATTAAAGTAATTGTAAACGTAATAGCAGCTTAGCAAATTGAAATTGTTTGTAAATTTTATAGTTTAAAAGAAAGAAAAAAATAAACTAATAGCTTGATTTTCCCTTATCGGTCTCTGTTATAATATTGGTTAACTTTTATGTATTGCAGGTGTACAAATAGCATACTTTGCCATAATCGGCACACAAATGTCCATGATATTGCTGAGCATTGTGTTAATATTTGGAATTTGTCGGGTGAGTTTTCTTGTTTGATTAAAAGCTTTGAGCATTTTACAATATTAAGCGCATTGTTGGCCCACCTCACCCGGTACCAAACACCCCGCCCACAAATCGAACGACTCAAAGTCAAACATCCGCAAATTATGCGCATTGTGCCTGCGCCTTTGCGTCAGGAAATGTTTGCCGAGCAAACAAAGCACATTCAAATGTAAATTACACAAAGCGTTCATACCGCGTGCTCGCCTTCTCAGAATTCTAATACGATTTTTTGGAGTGCGAAAGGTTACACGTGGGGTGCTGAAAATACACTATGAAAAGTGTCAAGGATATATGCTGGTGGCCTCAAAAGTGTTTAATGTGGGTAGTTCAAATTATAAATTATAAAAAAAAACCATATTTGAGTCAATAAAAAAAAACTTACTTAAAATAGACGGAAAGCTATAAACGAAATTATTTTTTGGTTTTATCTAAAATACAAATGATGGATTTTGATATTGGTGCCCGTTTTTTTGCGAGCATCTGTAAAATTCAACGTATGAAAAATTCCTGCCCCGAAACTGAAAAACATACAATGCCATTGACGGCGGCATGAAAATGTGGACTATTTGTCACACAATTGGCACAAGACTGGGAGGATGGCTGACTGGCTAAACTGGAGCCCAAATACCAGAACACTAGGAGAAGAGCACACAGCCGGAATTCAGTTAGGCTTTGTTGCTGAGCAATTGCCAGCTACGTTTTGTGGAATTTTTTAATTTCCACTCTGACGGCCGAACAGAAACGCGATTCTCCGCAAAAACGAATTCCATCGTTTAACCCCGGCGTGCGTAATGAAAACGTTACCAAGCTACTCTGTAATGGTCAAATTAATTGCAGCTCGCTAATAGAAGACTCAGCCACTTCAGCTGAGAGCCGGCAGCTGATGGCCATTAAATAATGCATAGAGCATTGGTTCTTAATTAGGCTAAACGAGTATTTGGACAACAAATGTGAAGGAAAACAAGACAAAGTTGTGGCCGAAATTGCGGTTAATAGCTGGTATAATAGATAAACATTTCGATACTCTGCTTATAAGCGTTTCCGGTGTGGTCGTGGAAACAAATATGTTAAACCTGAATCTACGCTTCTCGTAAAATAAATAGAAAGTTTTTTTTGAATTATCAGGAAGTTTTATTCATTGTTTCCAGGAACTTTATTTAATAAATACCAAAAGCAAACCAGTTTTCTCTGGCTCAAAACTTTAAATAACATATTATAACAAGAATAAAATAACCAACCTAACCATTGAGAATAACAATATACCAACCACAAATAAAATGTAACTTGAATGTAATAAGCTACCAAACAATAATTTATTTATTATGTTCTCTTTACAATACTTCCGAAACAAAAACGGTTCTAATGGGATTACATTTATTTTCATAAATTAGTCCAGCTTTATAGTCCACATTAAAATGTAATCCGCTGACAAAATACATTTTCTATGGTCCCACAAAATTGCCATGCAAAACGTTGTGGCCAAAAACTGTCAGCTGCACATCAGAAATTCCCAACGTCCTCAGCAAAAATTTTTAGCACACGAAAAAGCCCCAAAAAATCCAATCAGGGGTTTAACCACCATGGCGAGATAAATTAGACCGCACTCACGCTTTTTAACACCCACCTCTGAGCCATATTTTACGAGTATAGTATAGCCATGAAATCAATAGCTCGAATTCTATGCAGGTGCTGGTTTCGGTGGCCCCTTTCGCATTACTTTCCAATGGCAATATATTCACGCTGGTTTTTGTTTCCCCTGTTTCTATAGGAGAACCCCGGACTAATTGTACCCTGGATAATTGGCTATATAACATTTATGGCCCTGGAAGCTGTCGCCATGGTCTACTCCAATGTTCTGCGCGATCATGTAAATAAGGTGAGTGTTCCCTCGAATCCCGGGGGCAGTCGAACTGTTTTTGATGCATATTGAAGAGGTTTTCATTCCGATGTGCTGTGGGGACCATTTGTTTAATGAAAAACATCTCACACAAAGGACCCACTCCCACCGGGGGGTCCTTGTTGCATAAGCAGACTATCAATTGCGCCGTTGCTCGGCGACTGCTATAAATCAATGGGCATCAACGGCAAAGGAAAAGGCAGCGGCAAAGGCAAACAAATAAATTACAAAAAGCCTTCTACGCCAACAAATCAAACCGAATCCGTTACATATGTAAAAAGTTGGCGGCTTCCTTTATGCTAAAATCAAACAAAGCGGGGACCTAGTGGTTGTGGGTTATGGTCGGAAGTGGAAGTCGGCGACAGTTGAATGCAATGGCATCAAGAACATTGAACAAAGTTGGCGAGTAAACATAAACACATTCACTGTGCAACAGGCAGGGGGAATTGTTAAAGACCAAAGCGAATCAGGAAACGGATACAAATAGACAACTAGCCAACATCTGCGGTTAACAAAAACAAAAATACTTGATTAGAATTTGCATGACTTCGAAGCCTGATTAAGGGCTTTTAATCTCTTAAGATCTGCAATTTAATCTGTTAAATAATAGGGGAGGGTGGTCCCATACCGACCGGTCGTACCATACCGACCCCCCCATGTTTCTCAGAGATGGCGATGCTAGCCGAATTGTCGGTAACTTCAGTGAAAAGCTGTTATAACACAGACATTTTGGAGATAGATAGCCACTTTGACTTATTTTGTTTCACTGCAATTTTTCCGTTTGTTTTGTTTCAACGCCTGTGACATTTATTTTTGAGCTTTACTGAACTTGAGCTCAAATTTTTTTTTCTCCGCATAAAAATCGGAGAGTAAATTTTTCTGATCGTTGATAGTCCTAGCTTTCCCTCAAATAATTAGAATTACATCGCTCTTTGCGTCTTTAGTTAATGCCGAGCACTTAATCAGAAAAGGTCGTGGTGGTCCGAAACCGACCGCTAGGTGATGGTCCGAAACCGACCCCCATTTATTGGCAGCTTAATATGTCATAGCGTATTTTTGATGGAAAATATGAAAAAGTAAACAAGATTCAGTAAAGAAAAGTAACAGAAACAGCAAAAACATCAGAAGAAAGCGAAGAGACAGTCATCAACGAGCGGCTTTCGAAAAACAACGCGAAAACAACACGAAAACTTACTATGAGAAAGAGGACAACTCAGACTTCATCAATTGACTACAGTGCCCTTTATTTCATACATTAATTTTTATTTTCTGGAAAGAACCTTCAATATATTTCTTAATAAACGTCAAAATCATTAAATTCTATTTTATGTTATTAAATTTTTCTGTTAAGAAATAGGGGGTCGGTTTCGGACCACTACTTTTGAGTACGACCAAAAAGTAGAGTTTTATATTTGCCTGAATATCTAACGCTTCAAAGCACCTACGCACTTACTAATCATTTAGATGTATAGTAAACTGATCCCTCTACATAGTACTTTTTTGAACTGAACTGAAAAATTGATTTTTCTCACCTTTATCGCCTTTGCCTTTTAGGGGGTCGGTATGGGACCACCCTCCCCTACAATACTTCTAAAACCATATACCAATCTTCTTAAACCTAAAGAAATGCTTTAAGTACAACAATCATAATAATTTAAGTCGTATATTATCCATTTATATTTATGTTATATATATTTTAATGTGAGAGATACATTTTTAAAGGTAACTTTTATTATACTCGCACTGTTTGCTAACTTTTTGTTTTGATTTATTTAAATTGTGTTCCTCATAAACTTCAATTTAAATCATAAACATTATTTTTGGGTTGACCCCCCAGACCTCTAAGCAATCTTCTGGACTTGCTAAATCATTTTAAAGGTAATCCGGCCGCAACCAAAGTGGCTTCTTCAAACAAATGGAGCGCACAAAGTCCGGGTTGGAAAAATAGAAAAGCGGGGGACATAAACAAAACCCACAGAAAGAATGAAATTCAGAGTCAAACAGACGAACAAGAGCCCACTACACACTGGCTCTTAAAACAAGCGACAAAGTCAAAGGGCGGTGAAAAGGGGGAGGCCGGGAAAACTGGGAGAGAGGGGTCGGAAAACTCAAAGACTGGCGGCACCCAAACACAGATACAAACGTATCCACACATGTGAAGCTATGTGGATCTAGTCGCCCTGCACATATGCAATGAGTTGGGCATTTTTCTGCACCATTTTCCTTTAGTATTTTACATTTGTCTGTGTCGCACGGCATTTGTTTTTGTTGTTCGGCTTTTCTATTACGAACGTGTTCTTCTTTTCTAGGTTTTATTTTTCGTTTGTTTTTCCGCCTAGCCGGGGGACACGGAAAGTTTTTCTCCCGGAAAATTGTCACCTCATGCATAATTTATTGCAATCCAGAAGGTAAAAATTCATTTTTCTCTGTTTCGGCATCACAAAGTTTTGCGTTATGGTTTTTTTTTTAAACGAGGCCGACTTTCAACCAATTTGTTTGATTAAAGTTGTTGCTCACTTTCCAAATCATTAGCACAGAATTAGTGTGTTAATTGGCGATTTCGGATAATTTGTCAAACACAAATTCGCAAATTTGTTTAAGCTTACCTTTAAAACCTTTTTCTTTTAAACACAATAAAAGAGGTTTAACACTTAAGGCTTCTATAGAAATCTGAGATTTGGTTTATGGCGCTGGCTTAACCGCTTGAATTAATTACATTCACTTCAGTTCAAAGTGAAACTTTCCTTTTTTTCATCCCACAAACTTTTTCTGCGCCCTTTCTAAAACAGAAGGCAGCCAACAATTTCTGAAACTTTATTTTTTGTCGTTTGTTTGGCTTTTGCTGACTAACTTACGGTACAAAAATTAAAAACAAATCATAATTAAATATACGCTGTAAATTTACTCAAACTTTTCTTTTACTTTCAGCAATTTGACGCCATGTGCAAGGCCGAGGTGGCATTTTTCATAGCTCGAGCCCTGATTAACGTAAGTTTGATGGATTATTTAAGAGACAATAGTAAAAAGAGTGAACGAAATAAATGAACAAATGAATAAAATATTTTTATATTTACCATGCAACATATATTTACATATTGTTTGGTTAATTGCCTAAATGGGATAGTGATTCACGAAAAGAGCATTAGTTTTTCCGGAGTCTCCTGTTTTAGAGCCGTCGTAAACGCCGTCATGGATTGACGAACAGTCCAGATGCTCAGCGCATAAACAATCAAATAGATAATGGTCAAATTTCGATGATCCGGCATGCGCCCAAAAATTATGTTTATTGTCGCAGCACTCAGTTTTAAGGCGAACATTATTATGTGGATCCACAACCATGGAGCCATGTGCCGAGGTGACACCTAAAAATTAAATCAGGATAATTATTTATAGATCAAAAACAATAGGAGGGCCTTAAAAATTAGCTAAAAAGTATGCTACTAAATTAGGTAAAAGGCGTTATAACATTTCGGAACTTATCAATATATAATACATATATTATTCAGATGGATAGGCCACTCATATATTGAATATATCTGTTAGAACTCTACAATTTAAGACTGATTTTACTTACAAATACAGCAGCATACATCAGACTCGCCCAAGCATTAGTTTGTATAAAGGCGCTAAAAATTCGAAATCTCTTAACCAAAACTGGGGACAGTACGTAGAATCGTTTGTTGTGGCATATCGTGTTAGTGTCCGGATCCTTGGTGAAGATCAGCAGGCCGAAATAAAGTAGGCTGTGCAGCTAAGAGAAGGAAGAAACAATAATCTTAAGTTCTATTACCATAAGTTCGCTATTTACCACTCCATATGCACTAAATACCAGCAGAAACCAATAATATACGGGATAGAACGAGAAGTCGCACTGCAGGAGGCCTCCAAGGCTGCGCTTAAAACTCCTCCATTGCCTGGATTCCAGGAAGCTAAAGAACTTAGTTTTATCCCGACAAGCATCTGCGATCACATCATAGGAGTTTCCCAGAGCACAGAGCTGATATTTAAATGGAAATAGTCTGAACATGTGGCAAATCACGCGATACAAAGCAACTCTTGGAAATTACTATTACAAAACTATTTCTCACACGAAATTTATAAAATGATTTGAGAGTCATGTCATGTCAAACTTTGAACACTCAAACTAAGCATGGAATTCGGACAAAATTCCAGCATAATCAAGCTTTCAATAGGACGTCCTTCTAACAATAGAGACTAATTGCATTGGCGCACATCCCACCCGTGGCTTAATCAATATATGAAATAATTTAATTACTAGTTAAGTCCATTAGTCCAATTACACAGCATAAAAATGTTAGCTCATGTGTCTGCAGATAAAAGTGCGAGTGTGTGCGAGTGTGACTGCTGAAAGGAATTTCATTTAATGGATATTTATGATAGAATTGTTTTTGTTTGCCCATTGCAACAGGTGCTGGCCATGTGGGGGGTGCTCCGCTTCTACAATCTGGTTCGCTCTGGAATCACATGGCGAGGTCCAGAGGTAAGTCAATTAATCATCACAGAATGGGCATTATTTATTTGATTTTTATATAAGCCAAAAAAGAATTTGATCGCATTGATTTTATCTAAAATTTAGTATATGTGACTGTAAATTTTGTTGTTCTTACTTATTTATGCTACATACTTAGTACAATAAAATTTATTTTTCTGCATTCTGTACATGGTATAAATATTAAAGAATAATTAGATATTTACTTTTCTTTTTGGCTTTCATTAGTTAATATAAGCATTAGACGCGTTAATAAGCTTTATTAATTTCCCTCCCCATGTTTTATTCATTTATTTTTTCAGGCCAAAACCGCCATTTTTGCGCCGATGTACAAGAGTGTGAGTACGAACAAGCCGCACACATACACGTACAGCAAGCGGTCGAGGCGTCGCCATAGTGTGGAGGCCACTTCCGGCGGATGCTGCGCCATCTTCGACTTCGACTTCGAGTATGACGACAACGACGACGACGATGACGACGACGAGGCGGCCTACGGGGATGGATTGGAAACGGAGGACGAAGTGGGCTTCGACTACGACGACTACTACGATTACTACGACGACGACGAGCTGGCGGAGCAACAGCAACTGGGATTGCAGCAGGACGATGCCGACTGCAGCATGTTGGGAGCAACCAGGGCGACCAGGTCGCGCTCCAAGCCGCGATCTGCGCTGGTAAAGGTCAAGGGTCAGCGGAGCGGAGGTCGCCGCACCAACAACAACATCCGCAGCGTGCTGATCAACAAGCGGCACAACAAGTACAAAATCGCCCGGCCGCAAACGCAGCTGGAGGTCATCAACGAGTCGGAGAAGAGCGCGGGGAGCGGGAGCGATGAGAACGACTCCCTTTTGGTGGCCTATGACAGCAGTTCGTCGCTGGCGTCGGTTTGACATTGGCCGCCATGCAAATCGGGAACCGGAAATGGAAATGCAGCCACTGCGGCAGGCGGAAGTGATGGAGTCGGCGGCAAGGGGCACTGCAACTGCGGGGACAACAGAACCGAAACCGGAAGCGGAAATGGAAGTGGAAGCGAGACCGACGACGACGGCGATCCTGACGAGGGCCACTATCTGGAACCTGGGCGTGCGAAGGTCGGTGGTCAATGTTGTGGTCAGCGTCAACGCCGACGTCCACTGCGACGCGTCTACTGCGCTGTGAATCTGTCCATCATGGGCCTCCTGGTGGCCGTGGAGATATACGCACAGATCGCCATATTCCTCTAGATCGCAGCCCCCTCATCTCATGTCATCCGAATCAGAACGAGGTCTTCCAGGGCCACGAGATCATGCGAAGTTATTCCAAAGACCATTTAGTATTTTTCGAGAGCAGAAAATCACACCTTTAAATGCCAGCAAAGACTACAGCTTTAAATGTAAATACAAAAAACTTCTTAAAAGAAAAAGAATAAAATAAAAATTGAAAACTTTAAACTTTAACCAGCGCTTCTACAACATTTAACAAACTACTAAAGAATATGCTTTGACCATCTAATAATAAATATACAAAATTCACTGCCTAATGGCCTGTTTAATTTTCTTTTTTTTTGTCTTAATTGATAAAATACTTATTTAAAAATATTTTTTATTATTTATGTTAAAACGAATTCACTTAAAACATGTGTGACAACTATGTTTTCAATAAAAATTGACATGAATTGCTCCATAAAAATAAATGCAACTCCTAAATTCCAAATGTAAATACTATATATGAAAAAGGTCAAAATTAGCCACATATTCAGTACTAGTAAGAACAATAATAGAAATAAAGTTAAGTCTATAAAAATACTAGTAATTGTTTCTATCCAGCAAGATATAAAAAATCCATTATTAACAGGTCAACTCTGTAAGAGATAAAAACACAATTTTTGTGTTGTCATAAGCATAAATTTTCAACATTTAAGTTAACAGATAAAAGCCACTTTATTGCAATGCCCAATTGAAAGCTTTAAATTAGTTAAATAAACAAATCTCATGTCTATCCAAAACAAAAAAACAAGCAGAAAAGCCCGAACAAAAGCAACAGAAACAATAAAAAACAAATTGAAAAAATAAGCTTAACAATAAACGATTAAAATGTTTATGAAGTGCTTAGGAAATTACTTTGTAAATACTTCCAGCTATCTAAAATCGATGTCAGTGACGTACAAATAATAAGCGAAATAAAACCATATCTATAAATGTTGTATATATAGTAAGTAGTCTTAAGTACAGTTGCGCCAAAAAACTAGACAATTTAAAGCTAATCAATAAATGTGAGTTGATGTATACCTTACGATAAACCAAAAATAAACACTTGATATTTGTGCAAAAGTGCGCCATCATTTATTAGGTGATAACCAAACGTGCGCGTCACGTGAAGAAGGTAAAAGAATTCTGTGCGGATCACAAGTGTTTAATTTGGCCCCTAATCAAGGGGGCCAAAACCAATTAAATGATAATGCCACTGGTGGGAAGGAGTCGCCCGAAACCGGTGACACGTGAAGCAATCAGAGCATCAACAAGTGCCGATATCAACCCGCAAACACGGTTGCAATCAGGGAAATCTAATCAATAATCAGAGGGCCAGCAGGTTTAAAAGCGCCAGGTTTCCTGGGTGGGCAAATCAGTTGCGAAACATGAAGGGTCTAGTGTTGATTGCCTTGAGTGCCCTGATCTTGGCCAGCGCCCATGCCAGGATCCTGCCGAAGGAGGAGGATCTCCTCTGGGAGGTGCCGGAAGTTCCGGAAATGGTTAATGTGATCGAAACAAGGGAGGGTAAGTCTAAAAACTATATAGTGACCAAATCTCCAAAACTATTATCCAAAAATCCAACCTAAAAAATATAAACGTTTTCAAAAGAGATACAAATCATTAAATGAAATTTAATTAATTGAAGCAATTATGATTTCCATGAAATAAAATATATATAAATATAAATGAAATAGTTGTTTTTAGAACTATTTTGTTTTTCAAGAAAGTAAATTAAAATATTTTAAGCTTCACTAAAGTAGATTCCTTTTAAAAAAACCTTTCCGTATTTTAGCTGGCTGCTCGATTAAGATCCGCAGTTCTGAGCTGAAGGATCCCCAACCTCTCCTGATCAAGTCGGGAACCTCGGAAATCGTTGGCTTTTCGGACACCGGATACGTGGACGTGGACAAGGACAAGACCATTGAGTTCCACTGCACCAGCAGCTTGGCCTCTCCGCTGTCCGGGAAATCGGTGACCGCCAAGTGCGTGGGTGGCACCACCTTCAAGATCAACGACAAGGAGCACGACCTGTCCGCCATCAAGTGCACATCCTGGCCAGCGTTCGTGGGCAAGAAGTCGGGATCCAGCTGCAATGGAGGCACCACTCTGATCAAGGTGGGCTTTGAACTGACCAACTCCCGATTCGCCACCCAGTATGAGGTGTGCTTCAACGAGGACGAGGAGGTTACCAGGTACGTCTACCACCGCCTGGAGCCCGGAAACAACTACTATGCCACCGGCGTGGATCGCATTACCTTCGGTGCCGGCGGCTACTTTGCGGGCAAAAATGTGGACAAGCTGTATACTCAGGCGGTTCAAAAGGAGACCATCGACAAGGAGCTGGACATGGACTCTGCTCGCTACTTCGATTCGGCCAAGAACATCTTCCTGGCCCGTGGTCACATGGGAGCCAAGGCCGACTTCGTCTTTGCCCCGGAGCAAAGAGCCACCTTCCTGTTCATCAACGCAGCTCCTCAGTGGCAGACCTTCAATGCCGGAAACTGGGCTCGCGTGGAGGACGGAGTTCGCGCCTGGGTGGCCAAGGAGAAGAAGCACGTGGAGTGCTGGACGGGAGTCTGGGGAGTCACCACCCTGGCCAACAAGAACGGGGAGCAGAGGCAGCTCTACCTCTCCCACGACAGCAACGGCAACGGTCTTATCCCGGTGCCCAAGCTCTACTTCCGCGTGGTCATCGAGCCGTCGAGCAAGAAGGGCATCGTCCTGATCGGCGTGAACAACCCCCACTTGAGTCTGGAGGAGATCAAGCGGGACTACATCCTCTGCGAGGACGTCAGCGACAGGATCAGCTGGATCAGCTGGAAGAAGACGGACATCACCGCTGGCTACTCGTACGCCTGCGAAGTTCCCGAGTTCCGCAAGAAGGTGGACCACCTGCCCCAATTCTCTGTCAGCGGCTTGCTGGTCTAGGCTTTCGACACAACTAATAAATACCCCAAAACCATATTTCATTTGTTGTGCTTACTATTATGTAATGGAAAGTTAGGTTAGGTATTTAAATATATGTACATAGGTATAGCGTCAAAGTTAGTTTTGTATGGTACAACCATATTCATTTGAGGAAAAGGTACCTACATTTTGGGCATAGTAGAACTTGGTAAAAACTCATTAATATTATTTTAGTAAAAAAAAGTTTTAACAGTCAAATTTTCCCTCTGATGTTATTAGTGAAATATAATGTATCCGGTAAACTGTGCAGAGTGCTACTGCTCCTCCTCCTGTTTCTGCTGCCCTCGAATACAGAAAGTCGGATCGGGAGCCACTACATCCATCGGCGGGCGAAGCGACTCTCGAGTCCCTACTTCGAGGAGGAGAAAACTCTGAAGCTGGCCAAATATGTGGTTTCCATTCGGTCTCGAACGCCCCTCAAGTTCTTCGGAGACAATCACTTCTGCGGCGGGGTGATCATCTCGCGAACCTACATCATGACCTCGGCACACTGCGCCATGGAGTAGGTATATCCATCTGATATTCACGAGCATGAGGCACTTTGTAACCCATCCAAAAGCAAGCGCAAGATCATACATCGAAGTCGGGTCTTACTGGTTGTGGCTGGAACCGCGAATCGGCTGAAATACCGGGATGGCATCTCGGTGAACATGCCCGTGAAGAAGATCTTTGTGCCGGAGGCCTTCACAGTGTTCAACACGAACAACCTTGCGCTGATGATGTTGGCCAAGAAACTGCCATTGGACAATCCGCACGTGGGTGTGATCAGTCTGCCGACGGCTGACCCAGAAGAGGGTCTCAACTACACAGTTCTGGGCTGGGGACGTGTCTATAAGGTGAATACTATAGAAGAGCCAAGTTAATGCAACATAATATGCATTACATTTTCAGGGCGGTCCGATGGCCTCCCGCCTCCTGCACATTGACGTTGAACTATTGCCCCGGGAGGTCTGCGAGAAGAAGCTGCACACCTTCAAGGAGGAGATGATGTGCGCCGGCAACCTGAACAACAGCCTGGACGAGAATCCCTGTGCCGGGGACACCGGAAGCCCGCTGATCCACAACGAAACCGTCTTCGGTGTGGTGAGCTATCGCATAGGATGCGGGTCGCGCACCTTGCCCTCGGTCTACACCAACGTCTTCGTCCACTTGGACTGGATCGACGGCATCATGAAGGAGAACAGGGCGAACCTAGCGGAGGATACCCTCATCTGTTTGTTGACCACCCTCAGCGTACTCATGGGAAATAAAATTCTGAAAGGTTGTGCACTGTATTTGATCATCTGACCACTTAAACGAGAAGGCCTCCCTTGGCGGTCAGAGCGGGCAGGGTCTTCACGGTCTTGAGGAAGTCGGCGACCTCGCAGGCGTACGACCATCCGGCCTTGATGTCCGTGGTCTTCCAGTTGATGTAGGTCACCTGATCGCTCACGTCCGTGCAGATGACGTAGTCGCGCTTGATCTGCTCCTCGGTGAGATGCGGGTTGTTCACGCCCACGAAGACGATGCCCTTGTGGGAGGTGGGCTCGATGACCACCCGGAAGTAGAGCTTGGGCACGGGGATCAGGCCGTTGTTGTTCGAATCCTTGGCCAGGTACAGCGGGGTCTCCACTCCGTTCACGTTGGGCAGCGTGGTCACGCCATACACGCCGGTGTAGCAGTTCACATTCAGCTTGTTCTTGGACACCCAGGCCCTCAGACCGTCCTCCACGCGAGCCCAGTTGCCGGCGTTGAAGGTCTGCCACTGGGGAGCCGCGTTGATGAACAGGAAGGTGGCCCGCTGCTCGGGGGCGTAGTCGAAGTCCGCCTTGGCGCCCAGGTGACCGCGAGCCAGGTAGACGTTGCTGGCGCTGTCGAAGTACTTGGCCGCATCGCCACCCAAGTCATTGTTGATCGTCTCCAGCTGCGTGGCCTGGGTGTACAGCTTGTCCACGTTCTTGCCGCCGAAGAAGCCGGCCGTCTGGAAGGTGATCCTGGCCACTCCAGTCTCGTAGTAGTTGCTACCGGGCTCCAGGGTGTGGCGCGTGTAGCGGGTCACCTCCTCCTCCTCGTTGAAGCAGATCTGCATCTGCTCGGCGAACCTCGAGGAGGTGATCTCGAATCCGACGCGGATCACAACGCCTCCGTTGCAGGTGGCCCCCGACTTGACCGCCTTGAATCCCGGCCAGGACTTGCAGTACAGGTCCTTGAACTCGTAGTTCGTTCCGCCCACGCTGAAGGTGGTTCCACTCACGCAAGTGGCAGTCAACAGAGTATCGGAGTGGGTGTTGAATCCGGCGGGACACGAGAGCTGCAGGGTGCCGCCCGATGAGAACTCCATGACTCCAGTGTCGGAGAAGGGGTAGAAGTCCTCGGAGTCGGTCTTCAGGTACACGGGCTGCGGGCTGGGAAGTCCTCCGCGAATCGTCACACTGCAGGCTGTAAGAAACATTTGTATTTACATATAAAGTATTTAATTTAATCAAATAAAAAGAAAGGCTTTCATATTCGTAAATTTATAATACATTCTGTTACACCTTAAGAACTTTTAAGTAACAGAACCAAAAAACAATATTGCTTAGATTATTTCAGAAACAGAGATTATTTAAGTTTCATTTATAAAATCGTTTCGATCTTGAAAAGTAATGCGTCATATGTTGCCATAGATAATAGACACGCGCCTGGTTTTTCCTGTTTGTTAATGAGATAAGTATAGTATTAAGTATAAATATTTAGAACCATTGGGGGTCCACAATTATAAATTTAATTACGGTTGGGTTTGGCAATCAAAAGATAAAGATATATTTTAATTAAAATTAATTAATGCATCCTGCATTACTTCTTCATGGACAAACAAGGGAAACATTCGTCTATTGTAAACTGATAAGTTTTGATTGATTTACATATAGTAGTTCACTGAAATAAAATCTCCCCAATTAAACCTACCTCCTGCACGAGCCACTGGCTGCGGTGGCGCCATAACGAGCTCATCCTCCTCGACAAGTGGAGGAAGCTCCACCTCCGGATAGGCGACTCGAGCCCAGGCCACCGGAGCCACCAGAAGGCCAATCAAGACCAAAGAGAATCGGACGCACTTCATTTCACTTTTGACAAGCCAAGGGCTCCCGTGCCATCTTTAAATAGTCCCCTGCCATATCGCGCAATTAATGAAAAATAGTTAACCAAAGGGGAATCTGGCCATTCCCCCACTATCTCAATCAGAACAATAATATATTGGCCTTATCTATTTGTCCTACGTCGCTTCATTCATTCGATCTTAATTGGTTCGAGCCACTTAGCACGATTACTTTGTGGACAAGTGCGGAATATAAGGGAATTACCCAAACAATGCAGATAATTCTTCTGGACAGAAATAGAAACAGCTTTTCACACGTTTCGTCCACGGGGTTATCTATGGAGTATTACCGGTATTACATTTCCTATCTTATCCAAAGCTATTTATAACTTAGGGTTTTCTAGGCTCGACGTAGAAACTAAAAGAGAAACAATTAACTTGCCTTTGAAGATGTTAAGTTATTTTGCAGAAGCAAAGCTTTAATTCCGTTGAGGAAAAACCTATGTGCTCCTCTTAAAAATAAATCGATACAATTATTCATTTACATTCGCTTCCGGTGAAAACTAATTAAGACATGTTCAACAATAAACACTTATTTATGTTGGCCCATTCAAACTAGCAGTTAATGAGCATCGCCAACAGGCTGACGCCTTGTTCAGTTATTTAATCAGCATTTAAGGCGAGTGGTTTCCCCAGGCTCTCCTTTCACTTAGCAATAATTTATAATCAACAAGTAATTAAGGCTTATGGCCGCAGCAGGATTCAAATTTCTGGTGGCGATTGGAATTTCCTAGGCTTTCTTCAGATGCCCAGAAACTGGAACTTATGAGCAGCAGAGCGTGGAGTCTGGTGGGTAAAAGCCCATAGAAAGCGCTCGTTTATCATTATCTGGCGCCAGCCCCTTGCCCTCTGAGGTCATTTATCTATATCGAATCAATTAGCGAGCACCTTGAAGCCTCCGTCGCTGAAAATGAAAACGGGGGAAAAGGCATGGCAACACCTTTCTCGCTTTGTTAGGATTTCCTTTCGTCCTTGCTACGTGCCAATTTGGCTCGTTTTGTTCGCTCATTCGGAAATCTAAACAAATCATCAATTTTCACAAATTATACGCGATACCCATCTCAGCGGACCGGGGTTGCTGTTCCTCCGTATCCGTCGAAGTTACCGTATCCGGCTGAGGTCCTTGTCCTTGGGATTCGGGCCTAATTGCCCGACTATCTGCTTTCGCCGCTTTTCCTGCTGTGCGCCGCCGTTCATTTTACATTCCATTAATTAATGTCAATGGCCGACGAACTCTGACATATTGAGCTCTACTTTATATCCATGTCGCTGTCTCCGATGAGGATTTTGTGGGTTAGCCTAATGAGCCATTCGGAGTAGGATAAGTATTTGGTTGATTCAAATCAGCGACAATGTTATAAAAAATGTATACCAACCGAATAAAATTGAACAAAGAAAACATATCAAAGGGCTTAAGATTTTAAGATTTTATTAATTTATTAAAACAGAAATTGCTTTTACTTATTAATAAATGATTTATTGCCCTTTAATTATTTTATTCTCCAATAGAAATCGCAATCGGAAAAATCGGAGCTTTAAATCGCTTCTCAATCAAACTCATTTATCAGTGCTATCCCATAGATTTATTTTCCCTTCCTCACGTCATAAATTATCCCACCCAATTTATGAGTTTCCAATCAATATTAATTGCCTGTGAGATACTTTACAGGCCATTTCATTAGCCACCTGCCGCCTGGAGAAAGCATTTAACTTAAATCGCTTTCACCGCACTCACGATTCCATCGCACGACAAACAAGCATAAAAACACTTAAGTAAAAAGGAGGAATCGAGAAAGCGGAGGCACACAATTTAATCCGAATTTTACTTGATCTGGCGCATTGCATTGAGGAGCTTCGCACCATTCAAGGGTCCCAGCCCTGATAAATGGCCCTTATTAATAACATACGTGTGGGCGTGTTCCGTATCTCCCTGGGTGTGTTCGGTCTATATACTGAGATACCTTTGATTGATAAGGCTGCCTAAGCGTGTTTGCCCGGCGGCGGGAAAGGGGCGAAAGGCAAGCGAGGACGGGCCAACGAGTGAATGAGCGATTTTGCACCTTTTCAACAGGTTTCTCGGCGCTCTTATGTTCAGGCAAATTGAAAACGGGGAGTCAATAAAGCTGTAGACAGTCAGACATGGCCAAGGGCTAGGCCGGGGTCCTTTGAGTGGATATATTTGCATTAGGGTGGACAGAAAAGTTTGAAATATATGAGTCCAGTTTTGGTTTTATATTATAAAATTCAGTTCTATTAGTTATTATTGTTGATTGCTGACAACTCGTTTTAGGAGTATATGGATTTGAAATAACTAAAAAGAAACAATACAGATGTTTACCCTGAACCATGATTCCACTAATACTTAACCTATCTGACGGGTCGTATACGTAATTTTTCTGTAGATAAAAGCCAACCCACCCTAACAACGACTCAGCACGTATGTCTGTGCAATGATGGATTAAATGTATTTCAAAGGCGTGAAAGCCAAAAGGTAGCACAAAGTAGCACATTGTGGTTGCATAATAAACCCCAAGCATACTTCAATTTGGCTTAGCCTAGGGCCACGCAAATACAACACAGAAATAATAGAGCCCAAAGGATGTGGGACCCCAACAAAGGTAGAAAAGGTTGCAGAGGTTCTATAAATACATACTCTAATTGTCAAAGGACTTTGGGCCTTCTACCCTATGCAAATCATACATGGCCCGCCACAATATTGTGCAGTCATGTGAAAGATCTCCGATAATTGCAATGTCTTCAAAGGAAAACCCCTTTGCCGGCGAACGCAATCTACATGGAAAAGAGGTCACCATCCCCATGAACACAAAGATTTGCATTATTTTAAGCTCGATAAACCCGAAAAACAGCCATTGAGAAAAGCGGATAGGGGAGAAACTTCCTCTGTTTGAAGAGCGCTCATAAACTTTTTCATCCCATATGGATTACATAACTACAACAAGGAGGATTGGAGAAAAAAAAACAGTAAATACGAGCGTGTAAAAAAATGATCAAGTGAACGCTCAGCGTGAAAATTATAAAAGTAGTTGAACATGACAGGCGCACGTCCAAAAGCACGAGCAAAATGATTAATGAACTGCCGGCATCTAACGGCGGCAGTTCACTCACTCCAAGGATTGTTTATTGTGTTCAAGTTGAAGTTTAAACTGAACAATAACAAGAAACATATAACTGCTCCTAGTTTCGGATCGCGAGAAAAGAAATGAAAGTGTGGAATATGCAGTAAATTATTTAAAATCTAAGAAAACAAAATAATTCACCTTGTTTCAGTTTAAGTTGTTGATCCTCACTATACTTATATGCACAATAATACATGCATAAATAAAGTTTTGAATTGCCTGGAGAGAACTTGAATAAATTAGTTTAAAGACTCTAGGTAGGCTGTTAGTTGACGTTGTTTGGTTTTAAATTCCGGTATTCGTTTTATTTCAAAATTTATGATTTGGAAGTCCTCATCTACACAAAATTAAGTTTCTTAAGTAATATGCGGAAAATACAACTAGTTCAATGTATACAACCACGGTATTCTTTAAACACTGCTTTAGCGCAGCGTTTTATGTCAAAATCTGGTGATGCAAAACCACCTTCTAAAACAGAAACGAAAGGTAAATAGGAAAGCTAATTGTTTAAACCGTACCGTACACCTAATGATACTTTCTTATAGATCCAAAGTGCAAGGAGGGTAAAGATGCAAAACCCACCGAAGCTGTAAAAAAAGAAGAACCAAAGCCTGAGCCAAAGCCTGAACCAAAGCCTGAACCAAAACCTGTCAAGAGTAAAGAGGTCAAGCAAAAAGATGAAACTGCTATATCTGGCGGGACCAAGTGCAGTCCAACTGTCAACCCTGTTTGCATTAGTAAACCTGTAAAGAAACTGAAAACTTGTGAAGAAATTTTATGTGGAAAAGGTAAAAAAAAGAAGAAGAATATTCCTCTAACGGCCATTCAAGGAGGAGACTTGGGATGTCCTGCCCAGACAGATAAAAAACCACGTTAGTATTTCTATTTAATTTTGATACAGTAAAAAACACTTATTATTCTAGCAATAATTGGAAAACATGCAAAGCTCTGGCAGAAAATTTCCCTTTTTGGAGTCCTGCCTTTGATTGCCGTCCTAACTCTTTTGGTATTTGGCTCACGTGTAGAGGAAGAACGCCTAGAATTTAGGAACTATACCCACTTGTACAAGCGATCAAAGCCGTATTGGTTTAAGGATGGGAATCGCACAGCCTTTCACAACAGCTACTACAATGCCTTGCCTCCAGGAGGATATGAGGATGAAATTGATGAAGCTTCCATTGGTCAGGAACCGGAGTCCGAAAAGGATAAAAAAGCTCGACTAAAAGAATTCGACAAGGTCGTTAAGGATTGGCGCAAGCATTCATCGAAGAGAGAGGCTCGGCTTAAAAAGGAGGCTGCCGCCTCCTAGAAAACAACAAGCTCAGTGAAAAATGTGTGATTTCGAGTGCATTTACTACTCAAGAATTCTAAAAATTCCTTTAATATTTACCAGCATAAGACGATGACCATAGAGTAGCTAGGAGAAAAATTCAAACAGCTCCCCACCAAGAAGCATATTTACAATCAAGGTTGTGGGTTATCTTTATTAAACATCTTCACTTAAGAACTCAATAAACTTTAATAAACCTTTAAGTAATAATACTACGCAAAGGCAGAACCAATCCATATATTTCGATTCACCTTCAAACAGCAAACTGTATATTTCAGTAATAATTCTAGGCAGAAAACTTACGCTTATATGTACTTCGATTCACCTTTGTTTTTCTGTTATATAAAACTAACATTGTCCTTATAAATTGTAATGATCTTTTAAGATACGAGAAAATTCCGCAATGAAATCATTATTTATCCGAAGAAAATCAACAAAAAGTCGTGAACTTGTTAAGTAAAATAATAATTGCCTATATTTTATTTATTGTAAAGTAGTTTCCTGGCTGGGATATGACTCAGTCTGTCCAGGATCGCTTACAGAAAATTTATATCTGCGGGACTATCGGAAATTTTGATAGAGGGTGAGCCGACGGAGATGGGGGAGTCGGACTCACGGTAGTGTGGATGGCAAAGGTGGGAAAATATGGAGAACAACTGAGGCTGGTCGCCGGTAGCAGTTGCCAGGATAATGGGTAGCGATTCACTCTCGGGCACAGAGGCTGGGCGCCTGGCTGTGATCGCCGGAAGCGGCACACACGCGGGAGCAGCGGCAGGACGCCGGGCTGCGGTCGCCGGGGTGCACGCAGGGACGGGACGTGGCACGCAAGCGGGAGCAGAGGCTGTGCGCCTGGCTGCGATCACCGGGTTCCACGTGGGGACGGGGCGTGGCACGCAAGCGGGAGCAGAGGCTGGACGCCTGGCTGCGGTCACCGGGTTCCACGTGAGGAAGGGGGCGTGGCACGCAAGCGGGAGCAGAGGCTGGGCGCCTGGCTGCAGTCACCGGGTTCCACGTGAGGAAGGGGGCGTGGCACGCAAGCGGGAGCAGAGGCTGGGCGCCTGGCTGCAGTCACCGGGTTCCACGTGGGGCAGGGAAAGGGGCGTGGCACGCAAGCGGGAGCAGAGGCTGGGCGCCTGGCTGCGATCACCGGGTTCCACGTGGGGCAGGGAAAGGGGCGTGGCACGCAAGCGGGAGCAGAGGCTGGGCGCCTGGCTGCGATCACCGGGTTCCACGTGGGGCAGGAAAAGGGCGTGGCACACAAGCGGGAGCAGAGGCTGGACGCCTGGCTGCAGTCACCGGGTTCCACGTGGGGAAAGGGAAGGAGCGGACGGGACCCTGAAATCGGGAAATGGCTGCCGGCTCTAACTACTGGGCACGGGAATTAATATGCAAGCGAGGGTGTTTCAATTTCATATACACGTGTTTTATTTTAATGATAAAAAAATGGTCCCTGCCTATACCGCACTCCTATTTCTTAGCACTACTCACTCAGACAGATTCTTGGAGAGTTCGGGGCGGGGATTCGTCGGAGTCCTTGGCGACGTTGGAGCGGGGCCTCGTTCGGTGGCGGTGAAAAAGAAGATGGCGGCGCGGAGCCTGTCCCACGGTGCGGTGCGCGGCGGGTGTTCGCGGCGCGGTTGCGATGTGCGAGGTGTGCGAGGTGTGCGAAGTGTGCGGAGCGTGGTTCACTTTTCCCGGTGTACTTTCGAAGAGTCTGGCACGTGGTCCAGAGTAACGCAGAGCCGTGTCGAACGGGTGCTGAACATGCGTGTGGTCGCGACCGATCCTCGAAGATAATTGATTGATTGCCCTCGCCAAAACTCATCAGCCACCAAAACTAATGCGTTCTGCTGCAGTCCTCTGCCGCCGTCCTCTGCTCGCATGATCGGCGCTTTGCATATTCTAATGCGTCGTAACTACTTTGTATCCTCTCTCTCCCGCTTGGCCGCCCTATGCTCGCCCAAGCGGGGCCTGCATTCTCGTAGTGTAAGTGCGCGTTGTAGACTTAGATTTTCGGTTGTTCTCTCTCGTTCCTCATGCTCCTGTTCTCTCGTTCTCCATGCCGTCGTACTCTCCCCGCTCTTGCTGCTTAGTGATGCTCGTTTAGTTTGTACTTAGCTTAGACTAAAATACTGGAAAACTTCATGAACTTAATACTAATTCCACGGTCTTACTGCTCCTAGGCAAAATTAAATTCTAATGATAACAGAGATAAATTGTGCGGCCAAATTGGGCCGTCACACCCCCCTTACTTCGCCGGGCGTAAGGAGATGGTGACCTCGTTTTTGGTGTTTATGCGGACTCGGAAAATGTAACATTAATTTAGGGACCTGTCTAACTAACCTTGGTAGTGCGGTATACAAACTGGCTGTGAGACTTAACGTTAGGATTACAAGTTTACTAGGTCTACCCGTTTTCCCCAAACCTGGTTTATGGTGGGGTCTATGGCGTTCTCGGGTTCGCTGTCGATGTCTTCCTCGTGGAATGCCTTGAGATCAGCGAGGCCGGCGGTTCGTCTGCGTCTGGTCTTTGGTGCTTGCCCAGATCGCCTTGCTGGTCGCTCGGCTCGTCTCCTGAAGTTGTGTCGCCCTGTCCGCGAGTGTCGTAGATTCCTCGGTGGTGGCGTTGGCCACGGCTGCCGTTCCTGGTGGTCGTCTAAATGGGTTCCTTCGCCTAGCTTCTACGCATGGTGGCGGAAGAACGTTGCGGTGATGGCTCGTAGTGGTCTTCGGGGAAACGACGATGTTCTGGGTCGTGGATACGGCCGAGTTCTTCTCCGGCAGTACGTCCGTTCGAGTCCTTCGGATTATTGGCGAGCGCATGTCGCTGTGCCGCTGTGGCCTTGAGGCAGGGCTTGCTGAGGTTAGTGGGGCTGGTCGCCGCTGCACCTTCGGGTCTGTGTTCGCTGAGCTGGGCGGGGCTGGTCGCCGCTGCGCCGTGGAGTCTGAGTTCGCTGAGCTTGGCGGGGCTGGTCGCCGCTGCGCCGTGGCGTTCGCTGAGATTGGCGGGGCTGGTCGCCGCTGCGCCGTGGAGTTCGCTGAGATTGGCGGGGCTGGTCGCCGCTGCGCCGTGGAGTTCGCTGAGATTGGCGGGGCTGGTCGCCGCTGCGCCGTGGAGTTCGCTGAGATTGGCGGGGCTGGTCGCCGCTGCGCCGTGGAGTTTGTCGTAGAAGGAGCCCGTCTAGTGGGAAGTAGCTTAATGTTCACCTGGTTTATGTTAAGGGTCGCTTCCGCCTGGCTGAGAAAATCCATTCCCAGAAGTACGTCGTCAATTGCCGTTGGCAGTACCAGGACAGGTATGACTACCTTTCGGCCTCCCAAACCAATGGTAACGCTGAGGGCCTGAGTGACCTCTCTCCTGCTGCCGTCGGCGAGACTGAGCTGGGTGATACCCGCTCGTTGGTTTAGGTCGGTCCTGACCATCCCGGCGACCCTCTCACTGATGCAGGTGCGCGTGGCTCCGGTGTCGATGGTGGCATCGAAGACCTGACCTTCGATGGACACAGGGGCCACTATCCGACTCCCCTCACTTCGGAGAGCGGAATTGATGGATGTAGAGGAAAGGGTTGGCGCTGTCTCCGCTTGTTCCTTGGTTGGGCGGAGGCGCTCCTCGTTTCCCGCAGGCTTGGCACGGCAGCAATGGATTGTCCGTGTCCCTCGGCGGCCGCAGTCCCAGCAGAACAGAATCCGTGTGTTTCTGCATTCTCTGTTAAAATGTCCAGCTTGCGCGCAGTTTCTACACGCAGTCCTGACGTTAATCCTGGGTTCGTCTCTGATGCGGCGATGTGTGACTTCGGTTGTCATGGGTACCAGGGTACCGTTGGGTGCCCGTGGTCTGTCGGTGCGGGGGTCTCCTGGTGCTTGGTTCGCTGAAGCTGGGTTCCACGTAGTGGTTGTTCTTAAAGTCCTCGATGCTGTCATCATTTGCGTCTAGCGGCGTTGGTCCCGGTCACGGGTAAATTCGAAGTCCGTCACCAGCTGGGTTAATTTCGCCAGCGATTCAAACTCGTGCCGTCGCGTGAAGAGTTGATACTCCGGGAGAAGGTTCTCATATATTCGGTCCAATTCCTGCATCCGGTCGTACTTGGCCCGGCGCATCATCAAACGTAGACTTAGCGAAAAATCCTTGAAATTCTCTCCCGGTCGTTGGATCCTGGCCCGGATCTCGTCCTCCAAAGTTTGAAAATACCGCGGTGGTAAGAAGAAATCCAGAAACTCCGATCTGAATTCCTCCCACTTGGCTTTCTGCAGCTGGCTGACTCGGAACCAGTCTCCAGCTCGGCCAAGTAGCACACTGGGTAGCACCCTCGGCAGCTGGTCCTTCTCGAGCTCGTATGCGTCGATTCTCTCCTCCAGTTGCTCCAGGAAGTAGAGGGGGTCGTTGGCCTCTCCGTCGAAGAAAATGCCCCATTTCCTTAATTTTTCGGCCAGGCCAAACTGCATGGCCCGGTCGCCTCCGACTCGCTGTGAAAATCCTGCCGGGCCGGCCTCGGTGTGTCCAAGCAAGTTCCCGCTGATCCCGGCTGAGGGGACTTGAAGAAGGAGTTGGCCTAGTGGTTCCGTCTTCGGTGACCTGTCCTCCGCGTTGCCGTACGAGGGGTTCGGTGAGGGGTCCCTTGAGTGATCCCGTGATCTGGTCCGGCACATGAGCTCCAGCTCGGCTAAGCGTTCTACCCGCTCCTTGGGTAACTCCGCTTGATCCATGTATGCGGACATCCGCTTCCGTAGGTCCGCCAGGGTGCCTTCCGCAGATAACCCGAACTCCTTGCAGGCCTCCTCGAGTTGCTCCTTTCCGGCCTCGTAGATCCATTGTTTCCCCATGGTGTGTCGGTCGGGAGATCAGGATGACTTAATTAAGTATTCAGGTGACTCGGGAAGATCAGGCAGACTTAATTAAGTATCAGCGGAATTCAATCAAAAATATCGAGAATTCATGCAAAGATCTGTGGTTTAACTTAGTGCTAAAATTTCGGCGTGCGGCTAGTACGGGGCGGTTGAAAACAATGTAATGGCGAGTGATGCGTGCGAATGATTCACCCTATGAAAACGAGAATTTTCCTGGGTCTGGACAAGGCAATGCTTCTTCTGGTTATGATAATTCTCCTCGTCGATTATAATTTGTCCCTATGCTAAGATTTTCCTCGATGGTTAAGAATTTTCTGTCTGGACTCGGCGATGATATACATATATTCTTTTTTCCCGGTAAATAATTTTTCCCCGATAACCAAGAATTTTTATTTCGTCTGGCGATGCGATGATTGTATTTTTGTTCTCGGAGCAATGATTTTCCCTGTTTCTATGATCTGGCTTGAGGTTCACCAAAATTTTCCCTTTGCACTAAGACACTGGTGACGTTTTAAGTCACGAAGGATGTAATCCTCTAAAGATCCTATTCCCTAGTCCCTGCTCGGGCGCCATCTGTAAAGTAGTTTCCTGGCTGGGATATGACTCAGTCTGTCCAGGATCGCTTACAGAAAATTTATATCTGCGGGACTATCGGAAATTTTGATAGAGGGTGAGCCGACGGAGATGGGGGAGTCGGACTCACGGTAGTGTGGATGGCAAAGGTGGGAAAATATGGAGAACAACTGAGGCTGGTCGCCGGTAGCAGTTGCCAGGATAATGGGTAGCGATTCACTCTCGGGCACAGAGGCTGGGCGCCTGGCTGTGATCGCCGGAAGCGGCACACACGCGGGAGCAGCGGCAGGACGCCGGGCTGCGGTCGCCGGGGTGCACGCAGGGACGGGACGTGGCACGCAAGCGGGAGCAGAGGCTGTGCGCCTGGCTGCGATCACCGGGTTCCACGTGGGGACGGGGCGTGGCACGCAAGCGGGAGCAGAGGCTGGACGCCTGGCTGCGGTCACCGGGTTCCACGTGAGGAAGGGGGCGTGGCACGCAAGCGGGAGCAGAGGCTGGGCGCCTGGCTGCAGTCACCGGGTTCCACGTGAGGAAGGGGGCGTGGCACGCAAGCGGGAGCAGAGGCTGGGCGCCTGGCTGCAGTCACCGGGTTCCACGTGGGGCAGGGAAAGGGGCGTGGCACGCAAGCGGGAGCAGAGGCTGGGCGCCTGGCTGCGATCACCGGGTTCCACGTGGGGCAGGGAAAGGGGCGTGGCACGCAAGCGGGAGCAGAGGCTGGGCGCCTGGCTGCGATCACCGGGTTCCACGTGGGGCAGGAAAAGGGCGTGGCACACAAGCGGGAGCAGAGGCTGGACGCCTGGCTGCAGTCACCGGGTTCCACGTGGGGAAAGGGAAGGAGCGGACGGGACCCTGAAATCGGGAAATGGCTGCCGGCTCTAACTACTGGGCACGGGAATTAATATGCAAGCGAGGGTGTTTCAATTTCATATACACGTGTTTTATTTTAATGATAAAAAAATGGTCCCTGCCTATACCGCACTCCTATTTCTTAGCACTACTCACTCAGACAGATTCTTGGAGAGTTCGGGGCGGGGATTCGTCGGAGGCCTTGGCGACGTTGGAGCGGGGCCTCGTTCGGTGGCGGTGAAAAAGAAGATGGCGGCGCGGAGCCTGTCCCACGGTGCGGTGCGCGGCGGGTGTTCGCGGCGCGGTTGCGATGTGCGAGGTGTGCGAGGTGTGCGAAGTGTGCGAGGTGTGCGAAGTGTGCGGAGCGTGGTTCACTTTTCCCGGTGTACTTTCGAAGAGTCTGGCACGTGATCCAGAGTAACGCAGAGCCGTGTCGAACGGGTGCTGAACATGCGTGTGGTCGCGACCGATCCTCGAAGATAATTGATTGATTGCCCTCGCCAAAACTCATCAGCCACCAAAACTAATGCGTTCTGCTGCAGTCCTCTGCCGCCGTCCTCTGCTCGCATGATCGGCGCTTTGCATATTCTAATGCGTCGTAACTACTTTGTATCCTCTCTCTCCCGCTTGGCCGCCCTATGCTCGCCCAAGCGGGGCCTGCATTCTCGTAGTGTAAGTGCGCGTTGTAGACTTAGATTTTCGGTTGTTCTCTCTCGTTCCTCATGCTCCTGTTCTCTCGTTCTCCATGCCGTCGTACTCTCCCCGCTCTTGCTGCTTAGTGATGCCCGTTTAGTTTGTACTTAGCTTAGACTAAAATACTGGAAAACTTCATGAACTTAATACTAATTCCACGGTCTTACTGCTCCTAGGCAAAAATTAAATTCTATTGATAACAGAGATAAATTGTGCGGCCAAATTGGGCCGTCACATTATAAAATGTTATATCCGACCCACTTAACGGGACAATTCAGATACCCTCGTCCCAATTGGTTTTCCTTTCTTTCAAACTTGAATTGATTCGGAAAATGTTTTCGAAGTGGAAAATCTTTTCCTGTTCCTTTTGGCAATGAATGATTGCCACAACCAAATGAGAGGTGCGTGGGGCGGAATGGTGAGTGGATCCTGATTTGTCCTCGTCGTGCCTTGCCACTCGCCAAATCTGTGTGATAATCTGGTGTTGCAATCAGCGCTACATACCGTGCCACAAATGGCAGCCACTTTGTACGGCCTTCCTTTCCGGCATTTTCGCTTCCCTTTCCGCAATTCGGCCATTTGTTTTTCCTGTTGTTTTTCCTTCTCTAATGGCTTTCCTTTTTGCTAGGCTACGCTTCAATAACTTTTATCACTTTTAATTGGATTTTTCTTTATAGTCAACGCATGTCTTAGAAGACTAACACATGTTCAGATTGTAATTGTGTTAATGTCGTCGGGAGTGGTGGTGTAAGCTCGGCCATATCCTATCTGCCTGTGTTTTGTTATTGTCCTGTGACATCCTGCTAATACCAGCTCCATCTTATGCATGTATGCATGTATGTATCTCCCCCTTGTTTGATACAATTTGGTTATTTTTTGCCGTCCTATTTTTCTTTCAATTTTCTTAATTGCTTTCTAATGTTTATGCCTTCAGGCCAGAACTTGGCTCTTCAACTGATTTTATTCAGCCCATTTAAAGTTGGGCTTATGAGCTTAAAAGAAGATTTTGTACGCACAGTTAACCTTAAATGAAACTTTGTTGAATTAAAGATGGTTAATCTACCATGTGCTATCCGTTTGACTTCTGGGAAATGCTTTACATAATTTTTAAACCAAGGGATTAAGAGAGCAAAAACCTTTTTTATACAAAACATTACTTTTGAAACAGTACTATTTCTTTTATAAAAATAAATTGTTAAGTGTATTGGAAATAAAAAAAATTTTCCTAGACTTAAAAGGTAATTAAAAACAATCAAAAATGTTGTAATTCCTATAATTTAATTTATTTTTTTATTATTATACCTTTTCCAAAGACCAAAATGTTCAATTTTGAATAGAGTGCTGATAAATTTTAAGATATTAGCCAATAAACTGTCAGGAAGAACCGCTCGGAGAAACTTTGCGATTCCTTTCGCCCAAGGACACGACCAACTTATGTGCTTATCCGAAAGCCAAACCAAGTCCTGAAAGTCGAAGTAACTTTTCCGTTCCGGTCGTCGTTGACACGTAATTGACTTTGTCCGCACTTCCACGAGGACAATTTGTGGGCCACTTGCTCAGACCAATTAAACGCCATCGATGACCAATTGCAGTTGTCGCGAAATTGCTCGGGAAGATTGGCCAACGTAATGACTGCAGATGGGAGGACCAAACGGATGTGCAGTGGAGTGTAATCGATGCATAATTTTAATGCAATTCTTGAATGCAATTACCGGCGAATGCCCTTTGGCTATAAAAGCCAGGGACATCGTCCAGCAACCGAAAAAGTACGTCGGTACGTTGGTGCGTCGGGGAAATGCAAAAGCGAAGGGACGGCAACTCGTTAATATTCGGAGTGATGAAAGTTCAAGTTCTCCGCTGGCTCCTCCTGCTATTTTTCCTGCTCGTCAGTGCGGGGCCACGTGTCACCGGCAGCTGGCGGAGCGAAAATTCCCGGGAGGATCCGGACTCGAAAACACGGTGGGGCAATCAGTTGCCGGATATGCTAGTCGCTTACTATCGCCACCACGGCGTTCACAGCCTGATGCTGGTCGTTTGTCACACGGACATTGGTGAATTAACCCTCTGCATGCAATGTGCTTTTCGGGGCAAATTTATGACCCGGCAGTGCACTGAAAAAAAAAAAACTAATAGCGAACAGATTAGGGGTTTCACAACTATACATTTCTGTCACTTAACGCAAGTAGTAGAGACTCATAAATTTGTTCAGACTAAAAAAATAATATTTTATTTTAAGTCACATTTATTGTTGTTTTTTTTAAGTTGTAAGATTATACAAGCCACCGAAATTATGATAATAAAGAGTATATTTCGTACAATTGATTTGAAATGAGAATTGTTTACGCTAAACAGTTTTTTAATGAATATTACATATATTTCAAAAGAGTACATCAAAGATTAAACTACGTGTTTTTCTCTGTGTGCCTTTATTTTTCCCCTTCAGCGGATTCTCGCCTCTGGACACTGTTTCAGCACTTCAACCTCAACGATTTCTATGTGCAGGTCAGTACGGAGGGTTCGCTAAGGGACCTGCGACATGTCGATGCCCTGGATGAACACAAGGACGCTCCTCCGCCGAAGAGTTTCCATGCCAACAACTCCACCCACTGGGAGACGTCCTTTCTGCTCCCCATGATGCCCTATAAAACGGGAATCCTTCTGCTGGAATTCAGCAGCGAATGTGCAATAAATCTACTTCGCTGGTCTGCGGCATCGGAGCACAATTACTTCACCACGAATCGGTTTTGGTTGCTCCTAACCGAAGACACAGCCGATATCGATTTACTGGAGGACCCCGAGATATTCGTCCCCCCGGATAGTGAATTGAGGGTGCTCCTCTATGAGAATGATGGCAACTTCTCGTCCACCTTAATCGATCTGTACAAAGTGGCTGCTTGGAAGCCCTTGAAGAGAACTTTGGTGGGCCACAACATTCGCAATAAGAGGCACATCACTCATGCCCTACAGCACTTTGGGTCAGCTATAACTTATAGGCAAAATCTGGAAGGAATAGTATTTAACACGGCAATAGTGATTGCCTTTCCTGATCTGTTTACAAATATCGAAGACTTGTCCCTGCGGCACATTGACACCATCTCGAAGGTTAATCATCGCTTGATGTTGGAGCTGGCCAATCGCTTGAACATGAGGTTAGACTTTGTTACCCACCCTTTACATTATTTTTTACACCATTCAATAATACTTGTTTATATACTCACGACCAAAATATACCTACTTAAAAGTGATCTCCCATTTTAGCTATAACACCTATCAAACCGTCAACTACGGATGGCGACAACCGAATGGATCCTTCGATGGATTGATGGGACGCTTTCAGCGCTATGAACTGGACTTTGCTCAGCTGGCGATCTTCATGAGATTGGATCGAATCGCCTTAGTGGATTTCGTGGCTGAAACTTATCGGGTGAGAGCTGGAATTATGTTCCGGCAACCTCCACTGTCGGCGGTGGCCAACATATTCGCCATGCCCTTTGAGAACGACGTGTGGGTTTCTATTTTGATGCTACTCATCATAACCACCGTGGTTCTGGCTGTGGAACTGCTCTTCTCCCCCACACCCACGACATGGCCTACATGGACACCCTGAACTTTGTTTGGGGTGCCATGTGCCAGCAGGGATTCTATGTGGAGGTGCGGAATCGATCGGCAAGGATCATTGTCTTTACCACTTTTGTTGCTGCTCTTTTCTTGTTCACGTCGTTTTCTGCTAATATTGTGGCCCTACTCCAAAGTCCATCGGATGCCATCCAGTCTCTGTCGGACCTCGGCCAATCTCCACTAGAGATTGGTGTTCAGGACACCCAGTATAATAAAATATACTTCACGGAGTCCACTGATCCAGTGACCAAAAATCTTTACCATAAGAAAATCGCATCTAAGGGGGATAATGTCTATATGCGCCCGATTTTAGGAATGGAGAGAATGCGCACAGGATTGTTTGCATATCAGGTGGAACTGCAGGCGGGTTACCAAATCGTCAGCGACACCTTTAGTGAGCCAGAAAAGTGTGGATTAATGGAGCTGGAACCTTTCCAGCTGCCCATGTTGGCAATTCCCACCCGGAAGAACTTTCCATACAAAGAGCTCATAAGAAGACAGTAAGTTTACTTATAAATAATATCTGGATTGAGTAAAAAAGAGTTAATTTAATTCCTAATTTGGAATTTCTAAATATAGAAATCAAATGAATAACTTGATCAAACTCGTAATACATAAACAATATCTAAAAATACAATTTTTCTTGCAGACTACGCTGGCAGCGAGAGGTGAGCTTGGTGAATCGCGAGGAACGGAAGTGGATTCCCCAGAAGCCCAAGTGCGAGGGCGGAGTGGGTGGCTTCGTATCCATTGGCATCACCGAGTGCCGATATGCTTTGGGGATCTTTGGCTGCGGAGCTGCCGCTAGTTTTGGCTTCTTCCTCTGCGAGTTCATCTTCAAGCACTTCAAGCAAATTTATCGCATATTCAAAGGATATCGAGAAATGCAGCGCTAGGCCGCCACGTTTAATCAAAATAGAATTAGTCTTAAATCGGTATGGATAGCTCCCGCACAACGGCGCGAAGAACTTCTGGGGTTTTGAACTGCCAGTTCTGGATGTTCTTGCTGACTCGACACCAGGACTCTCCATGCGTGGGTTCTGCGGAAATGCAACGATCTAGGACCTCCTGTTGCTGGGCCTCCGTGCCGTGGAGCAATTCAAACTTGTAGAAGTACGCCCAGGCGTCGCCCATGTCGGGATCGATCTTGACCTGAAATAATTGAGAAATTAGCTCAGAATTCAAATATAAAAAACTTTATTTAATATTTTTTTACTTACCGTTCGATTAAACCAATCCCTGCACTTCGAAAACTTGTGTTCCGACCAGAAAAGTTTGGATACAGCCAGCAGCACATGTGGGTCGTGCTCGCATTTCTTGAGGGCATCCACTGACTTGGTCTTGCGCTGAGGCTTAGTTTCCATGAAAATGGCCTCCGCCCAAAGCTCGCCGGCATTGGGACACTCCTGCAGAGCTCTGGCCATCATGGTGCTTGCTATCTCCTTGAGCCCCGCACGCAGTTCCACCCTGATGGCCTCTAGCCAAAGTACAGCCACCTTGGGATTGCGCAATCGACCGCGCTCCAAAATAGAACGGGCCCTGGTCAGCACTCCTTTGCGCTCCTCCAGATTGGCCGAAAGAATCCACAGCGGAATCGAGGTGGGACACTTTTTCAAGCCCTGAGTGTAGGTGGCAGCCGCATCATCCGTCCGTCTTTGCTGCTCCTCGATCTGGCCCTTCATCATCCAGAGCTTGGGGAAGTCCGGGAACACTTCTACGGCTTCTTCGAGCAATCGAAGAGCTTCATCGAATCGCTCCAGGGCCCATTCGAGGCGAGCTGACTTCATCATCACCCTAGGCGTGGGTGCCGATCCTCTAGCCTTGGCCAACAAACGTCTGGCCCGCTCATACTCCGAGTTCTCCGATTCCAACTTAACGGCTGCCAACCAAATATCCTCGGAATTGGGATTGGCCTGGAAGGCCAGGGATAGAATCCCTCGCGCCGCTGGAACATCGCCAGCCATCCACTTGGATTTGGCACCCATCAGCCAGAGAATCTCCGATTTGGGGCAGTGCGCCACCGCTCGCTGCAACAAAGCCTCCAGAGACTCGCGGGTGCCATGGTTTTTCTCGAAGTACGCCGCTCGCAGCCAAATGCTCTTCTTTGAGGGGAATATCTGCAGGGCATGAGCATAAACAGCTCGCGCACACTCGAAAGCATTCTCCTTTGCGCACTGAAATAGGAGAAATTATCGGTTCGGTTAAACCAAGATCAAACTATCAGATTATATTATTTATACTTACAAATTCCGCATCATCGATCCAGGTCTGCTTGCGATCCTCTTCCTCCACTCCTATTCCAATAACAGCTTTTACAATGGACTGACAGCAGTTGACGGCTCCCGATTTTTCCGATTCGATGGCCTCCTGGAACCAGTGGTCACGGTTGATCTCAACCCCGTTGACAGTCAGCGAGGTCAACGATCGATCGATGATCTTTTCCACCATGTGTATGTTACCATTGGCCTCCTCCAACTTGGCAGCCGTAGTCCAAATCTGGCGATCCGTGGGTATATTCTCGCGAGCTTTGTTCAGGACCTTTCGAGCGTTCTCATACGTCTCCAGACGGGCAAGGGCTAACCAGAGCTCAACGCTGGTGTTGCAGCACTCCACAGCACGGGAAAGCAGGATACGTGCATCGTCGGGATTCTCCAGCTCAACAGCAGCCTTCCATAGACGAACAGAGTTCGGTATGTGTTCTAGTGCCTTCCTGAAAACCCTTCGCTTGGCCTTGGTTTCCGTTTCCAAATCAGCTGCCTTAATCCAAATCCTAACAGAGGTTGGAATATGACGAGCTGCTTGAGCAATCACAGCTTTGGCTGTATCCGGGGGCTGAAGACGAGCAGCCTCCAGCCAAAGATCCTCAGACTGGATATTCATTTCGCATCCCCTCATGATCAGATTCCTGGCCATCTGAACCTTGCCAGTTACCTCCTCCAATCGCGCAGAGGCAATCCAAGCGGGTGGGTGATTAGGATTTGTTTCCCTGACACTCTTGAGCAGCAAACGAGCCTTCTTTATGTCATTGATGTCACCGCCATAGGTGGGAATCATACTCTGCAGATCGGTCAGGTACCCTTTGGGATCCACTACCGTTTGACCCGTCACGGAATCAGAGACCTGGGATAGCTTTACGTTCATAAGTGTGTTACGGGCCTGGCCAATCTTTCGCAGATCCAGATCTCCCGTGGGGGTCAACATGCCCGGAGTGGCTACGCCAGGTACCATGGAAGCCAGTCCCGAGGAAGGATCCAATGTGGAGGATGACTCGCCGCCAAGATTTCTCGATATCAAGCTATCTGGCAACGGCGTAAACTTCTCGGCCCTTGGATTTCGTTGCTTCCTATTGCGGCTGTCGCCCACTTCCGGAATCGTGGACCACTCCTCCGATGTAACACTGGCCAGCGAACGTTTCAGGTCACTGAACTGCTGTTGGATCTTGGGTCGCTCCTGGCGATACCGCTCCAAGTCCTCACGCAGCCGCCGATCGCGGTACTCCTTTCGCTTCTCGTCCATTCTTTTGTCTATCGAATCGTAGATAGCGTCAGCCTCCTCGTCGTCCTTGTCGTACGGATCCTTGGAGAACAGGGAACCGCTGTAACCACTAAACTCGTCATAGTTTGAGTCGTTCAAGTCTTCGTCCTCCTCCTCCTCTTCGTCTTTTTTCTTACGTTTGGTGGCCGGCGGCGCATGGCGATCATCAGACACATCGTTGGCATCACGGGCAGGACCGATATCAGAACGGGTTGTGAATCCTGTCGCTCTAAAAGGGAAAGACACCATTAAAATTTGCTTTTCTTGGCGAGAAGTGAATTGTTTGATGATACTCACCCTCGACCAACGCCGGCAACATAGCCCAAAGGAGCGGGAACGCCCAGGAAATGCTTCTTGTTGCGGTTGGCTATTACCGCTGCCGTTATGTTAGACATATTGAATTACTTCTTGGCTCTTTTCTTACACTTTTATTTATTTAATTTCACAAACAACTGAAAGTTTAACAATGCGTGGTGCGCTGCTTCTTCTTTTTGGGAAAACAGTGTTAGTAAGAGGTCAACTATCAATGCTGAGCTCTAGAGATGGGAAAAGGTAAAGTGACAGGGGCGGGCAAAACTGCGACTCAAAGGATTAAACAATGAAAATTTCTGCAATCAATAGAATAGAAACTAAAATAACATACACTCATTAAGGCGGCTGTAGCTGAAATATTTGTTTTAACATTTCGACTGACCAAGAAAATATCGCCCGGGAACCGTGACTCGTTTGTCCATCACTAGCTCGTGCCGGTTTATCGTTGCCAAATACTTTGCAAGTCGGAAAAATAAATTGACAAAACAAACGGCAATTCAGCTAAACTTGTTAAATTTCAATCGGATTTTTGTAGCAAACTAAAGCAGGATGCCCGTGCTGCCGATGCCACCGCTTATCCAGGTGAGTAACCATCAAAAAACGGTGTACTTTAGCTTAATGCAATCAACAAAAATTGTGTATTTCTTAAACAAAAGAACGCAGTAGAACCGATGCAAGTGGATGCGCCACCGAACGAGGACAATGAAAACAACGAGGAGCAGCAGATTGTGGTGGAGAATCCCAGTATAGATCTCGAGGTGTACGCCAATCAATATTCCGGGATCGTTCGACTTCATCGCTTGATTTATGTGGCTGATGTCTGCCCGATTCTGGCTGTGGAAGCTCTTAAAATGGCCATTACTTATGTGCAAAACACCTACAACGTTAATCTCTACCAGGTGCTGCACAAGCGGCTAAGCGATTTGAATGCCGGAAATGCCCCAGCTCCACCCGCGAATGCTGGTGGAGAGCAAGCAGCAGCTCCGCCAGGTGCTCCGGCAGCTGCACCTTTGCCGGATATTGCCGCCCAACCGGTGGCCCAGGCTCAAGGACAAGCTCAGCCCGCTGGCGAGAAGGACGCTTTTGCGTATGACGCCGTATGGGTAGACACCAAGCTGAAGAAGGCGGCCCTGAAGCTGGAGAAGCTGGACTCCGACCTGAAGAACTACAAGTCCAATTCGATCAAGGAAAGCATTCGCCGAGGGCACGATGACCTGGCAGACCACTACCTTAGCTGTGGCGATCTCACTAATGCCCTTAAGTGTTATTCGCGGGCCAGAGATTACTGCACCAGTGGCAAGCATGTGGTCAACATGTGCCTGAACGTAATCAAGGTGTCCATCTACCTGCAAAACTGGGCTCATGTGATGAGCTATATATCGAAAGCAGAAAGCACTCCAGATTTTGCCGAAGGTTCCAAGGAGGCCAACGCCCAGGTGCATACTCGCCTGGAGTGCGCCGCTGGGCTGGCGGAGCTACAGCAAAAGAAGTACAAGGTGGCTGCTAAGCATTTCCTGAATGCCAACTTTGATCACTGCGATTTCCCCGAGATGATTTCCACCAGCAATGTAGCGGTTTACGGTGGCCTCTGCGCCCTGGCCACCTTTGACAGGCAGGAGCTTAAGCGTCTGGTCATCGCCTCCACATCTTTTAAGCTTTTCCTGGAACTCGAGCCGCAACTTAGAGATATTATTTTCAAGTTTTACGAGAGCAAATACGCCTCCTGTTTGACGCTACTGGATGAGATCAGGGACAACCTGCTGGTGGACATGTACATTGCTCCCCATGTGACCACTCTGTACACCAAGATAAGGAACCGCGCCCTAATCCAGTACTTCAGCCCATACATGTCGGCTGATATGCACAAAATGGCCATGGCCTTTAACTCATCTGTGGGCGATCTGGAGAACGAGGTAATGCAGCTTATATTGGACGGACAGATCCAGGCGCGTATCGATTCGCACAACAAAATTCTGTATGCCAAGGAGGCGGATCAGAGGAACAGCACCTTCGAGCGGGCCTTGATCATGGGAAAGCAGTACCAGCGTCACACCAGGATGCTTGTGCTCCGAGCTGCTATGCTCAAGAGCCACATCCACGTTAAGAACATTTCGAGGGAGGGCGGCAGCAGCCACGGCGCCGAACTTTGCGTATCCGCCGGGTCCTCCACAACCGCCCAGCTGGCCAGGATCTAAGAAAACCCAGCACCCAATATTCAATAAAGTCTATGAAATATGTATATCACACACTGGCGAAATAAAAAATTTTAGCGAAGCTAATTAAGAAAAAAAAACACAAATTTGAAATCTTTTTTAAATGTTATATATATACTTAAAAACAGTACATATGAAACCCAGGTTAATTACCAAACAAAAATGGTTTATTAAAAATGTTAAAATTTTGTTGGTAGGTTTTTCGAAGATAATACTATCGTCTGGAGTATTCCCTGCGCTCACCGTCTCTTCTCCTGTCTATGCTGTTAGAACGAGACCGGGATCGATCTCTGCGTTTCCTATTTTCATCCCTTCGTCGATGATCCGAATCCCTAGACCTTTGATGACCATTTCTATTGTCATCTCTGTGATTGCTTTTGTGATTGGCTTCGGAATCGCTGCTATCCGAGGAAGACGAGGATGATGAACTATCGCTGACTGAAGATTTTCTAACTTTTCTGCCTGATTTTTCCTTTTTCGATTTCTTTTTCTTGTCCTTTTCCTCCTTTTGTTTTTTGGATTTTTTCTTGGAGGGTTTCTTGATTCCCTCGCCCTTGCGCTTCATCCGTTCGATCTTTTCCAGCTTTTTGAGCAGCTTCAGCTTTTGCTTCTTGGACAGGGATTTGAGAAAGACGAGCTCGGGGTTTTGTTTATCAGCATTTGCCTCCTCCTCGCCATCGCTGGGTACAAGTTGGTGCTGCTGCTGGATAGCCTTAATGCTCTGCAGCTCCAGCGCCGATCGCTTCATCATAAGGCCATCCTCCTTCATTTGCTCCTCTAGCACGTTCTTGGCCATGATGTCGCTTGCCTCGGTTTCCGCATGGAGCTTGCGAGCCTCGCTCATCGAAATGCTGTACATTGTGCACTCCTTGTCCGTGTTGATGTGACCCCACTTGTGGCACTTTAAGCAGCGCACGTTCCGCACCTGTATGCCAAAAGGCTGATCCCGGATCTCGGTGTCGCCTTTACAGTATGATTCCCTGGGAGCGTTGTACTTTCGCTGCCACTCAAACTTATACTCCGGCTCGTTATCGTCCTTTTCCCGCTCTTTTCGCACTCCTGGAGGTGGCTCATACATAAAGTTGACACTCAGCTTGTCTTTACTATCCTTGCTGAGCATTGCCTTATTCTCGTGCAGATTCTGTTCCTTTTCGTACTGGTTACGCAGCTCCTCCTGCTTCTTTTTGTACGCTTCTGCCTGCTGCTCCGCCATCCACACCTGAAAACAAGATTTAACTCGTTTTTATCCAATTTTCAAAGAAAATGCGTATTTCATCAGGGCTCGCAGGTACTTACTCTTTTAAGGTTGTCCCTGGACGCGGGGTGGAAGAATTTCTTGCACATGTAATTGTTGAATCCCTTGCCCATCTTGTTATTGTGTTTTTACCAACTTTATCTTGAACAAATGAACTATTTTGGGAATTTGTTATTTTTTTTCAGCTGGCTTGTGTTTGTCAAGGCTATCGATTGAGCTAGCTCATATCGACATCAAATGCTGCAAAGTCAATGCAATCGATATCAAGAGGAGTCACGAGCTATCGGCCATCGATTACGTTCTTTAAATCGGATGTCAACCAAGGCTGCCACTTTAGCTTTTTTCCCGTCAAATCTGGCTGCTTTGGAGAATCATTTTCGGGAAAAAAAATGAGAATTGCGGGAAGCGTGAGCTCTGTTTTTAAGAAGTGTTCGGCTTTTTTCCGCTTTTTAGCTTTATTTTCAATTTTTTTCCAGTCAAAAACAGCTTTTTTTTAATCAAAAAGCGGCAGCAGTGGTGTCATTGAATCTGAGCTGTTTAGAATTTTTATATTTCAGAAAAAACTGCTAAGAAAGGAATTTCGTTTGACGACTATGGATAATTGCGATGAATCGGACATGGTTTGCTGCCCGTACAACAAGCAGCACAAAATGCTGCGCAGGAAACTCCAGCAGCACATTCTGAAATGTCGTGTGATCTACAAAGACACTGTGGAACTGATGGTTTGTCCATTCAACAAGGGTCATTTGATACCAGAACCCGAGTTCTTCGTGAGTATGTTCCTGAAAATAAAGAATTGTGTATAGAAAACTTTATCCCCATATAGCAACACACAAAAACGTGTGACGATCGAAAGATTATAGTGCAGTATCAGACGAGTGCAGCAGCTGTTTTGACTGATGACACTAGACACCCGAAGATCGAGTCCGAAGAAAACTGGGACGACGATAATGTTCCCGATTATAATCCGCAGGCCTATTGCGCCACGGCCAACATTGTGAGGGAGCCTAATGGATTGTTTCCCTCACAGCGAAAGGCATTTATCAAGGAGGAGAACCGTCGCAAATTCGGTGATGATTACGAGGAAGAGAAAAAGCCACCAAAATCCCGTGCGGAATGTCGCACCGCTCCCTACGACAGAACAAAGAAGCACTTCCGGCGCAACTAACCGAAGTTAGCCAATTCCACAAAAAAAGGATTTAAAGTATCTAATGAAGGATAAGTCCTCATAGAGCGGATCGCAGAATTTCCTATTCAACAGGTGCTATTTAGAAGCAACAATTCATATGCATATCAGACAGATTAATAGACTTTATCTTTCCTTTCCACGGGTAAAACATTTATTGTATTTAATTTTCGATGTAAAAAAAAAAAACTACAATCAAAAGAACCGTAAAGGGTTTAAAATGAAGCAAAAGTTTTTAATTTCCAGTTTAAGTTTTTCAAATTATTTTCCCATGAATAGATACGCAATCGACTAGAAATTAATTTGTCAACTTTTTCTTCTTCCATAACAAACTTCAAGTGCTTCTACAAACTATTGGAAAGGTCTTATACACAAACCAATAAAACTGAACCATTTGTTTTTAGAAATCTTTCGCTAACCAACAACAAATTTAGCCTCGCTTAGTTAAAAACCGAGAATCAGTTGTCGTTTTAATTGTTTAACCACACGAGCTACAGAATTTTAAAATTTGGCAGTGATTTTTAAAAGGGATTTAAATCTAGCTTAAGTCAGATAAACATTATATGAAGTATATTAAAAAAAAATTTTCCTGTACTATTGATATTGTCATCCAGAAAGAACACCGCACAGCCTCTACAAAACTTTAAAATATTGCACATGGCGGTAAAAACAGATTTTTATTAAACAGAATTATATATTTCAAATTAGTTTGAAAGCCGAAATAAAGCTTTCTTCAAATCAAAACCCCAAACTTAAAAACCAGCTTTTAGTAACTAGTTTTTTAAAGCCACTTCTATAAACAATTTGCGAAAAAACATGTTATCTAGGAAATGTTTGCAACGTTTTCTAATTGGAACTAGCCTAGTTGGAACAGGGAATTATAAATCCGGATATTTTGGGGTAATTTCCTGATTGATAAAAACGCCAACGTAATCCATTTGCGAAAATCAACTTTTTCTTTATTGTAAAGAATGGCGTCGTTCTCACACGCGATTTTTTTCAAATGTTTTGTTTTTTACACTAAGCGTTACGGTAAAAACAGTAAACAGCGACGTCCCGGATTCCAAGTTAAGAGCATTAATCGGGGATTTACGCGGTCTCCATGGGCTGGGCAGCGGTCTCCTCGGTGTACTTGCCCTTGTCCTTGCCGAGAGCGGCCAGACGGCCCTTGCCGCGGCGCTCCAGGATGGCCTTGCGGTCCTTGTCGAGCTTCAGCTTGACGATCAGCACCTTGCTGGGGTGGATGCCCACATAGACGTTGGTGCCGTTGGCGTTCTCGCGCTGGATCTTCTCGACGTAAACGACGAACTTCTTGCGGTAGGCCTGGACAACCTTGCCCACCTGGTTGCCCTTGAAGTGGCCGCGGATCACCTGGACCTCATCGTCGCGGCGAATGGGCATGGAGCGCACGTTGTACTTCTGACGCAGCTCCTTGGAGAGGGGAGCGGACATGAGGCGCCGGCGAATGTGGGAGGGTGCCTGGAAGTGGCGCTTGCGGTTCTTCCTGCGAGACGACGACACGAACGGGTTCTGTTTCATCTTGCTTGTGCGGGCTGTAAACAAAAATTGAGAACTGCGTTAGTAAAGGTTTCGCCGAATACAAACAACCGTGTAAAAAAGTTAGGTTAGGTTATCTTCGTGTGTTTCCATTATCTTCAAAGGTCTTGATTAAACCTTGCTTTAACTGTTCACTGTATCTTTCCTCGGAAAGTCTATTTTCATTTTCAAATGCATATTTACACGTTTTTTAAGGGATTTTGTGGAGCCCGATTTTTTTACTTACGGTTCGCCACGTGAAGAACGAAAAGAAAGAAATTTTGACAGATGCGTCGCCGTTAGGGATGGCAAAAACGCCAATTTAGAGCTGGCACACTAACCGATAGCTTAAGTGTGCTTGCGAAAGGCCTGAAATGGTGCCAAATTAAGCCTTTGGCTGCCATTTTAATTAATTTGACTATTTCCTGAAATCTTGTGTTTTTATTTTTAAAATCCTATTAATGTTTATATTATTATTTAAGCTTATCCGTGTCTGTAGGAATCGATAACATACATCGATCTCTAAAATGTCAAAATTAAGAAAAGTGCTTTACAACACTTGTAGTGTGTAACACTGCGGAGACTTGTCCACTGTTTCATTTAAAACGTCTTATTATTTATTATTATATTCCTTTCCACAACTATTGATTAATTTCCTTGCATTTTTTTATTGATTAAAGTCTAAGTGTTTTGATAAAAAAAATATAATATTTTTACAAAATATTTGTTATACAAATTGGTAAAATCTAGTTACTTTTGCGACCCATGGGATAATAAGAACTAATGGACCGGCGGGTTAAGTGCAAAATCTATGTCCTTCGTTATCCACTGTAAAGATTATGTTAACCAGGTTGAAAAAAGCGCCTCTAGCGGATAAAATTGACTAACACAATCGTTTGTTAAAGTTCAGTCCGTTAACGTGCGTGTGGCGCTCTTGGGACTGACGGACCTGACGAGACTACCTTGTACATATTCTACCATGGCTCTTGCGATCGTGGGGGCTGCTGGAGAACAGGCATTCAGTCGCAAGTGAGCAGCCAACATTTGCCGTTGTCGTTTCTTGGTGATCTGTTCCGAAAAGCTTAATAAAGTCCAGTTTGGCCCCCTGATTCAATTAATTTTTCCACTACATTCAAGATGATGAACAGCCTGAAGAAACTGCCCGTGCGCATGGTGAGTGCCACGCCCCCCGAAATCTTAGTTCGGCTTTAACTAATTTAATTTGCGTTAACTTATTTCTTAGCTGGTTAACGCCGCTGCACGTCAGCAAAATGCGGCGATGTCCTCGGCAACAGGTCTCCCCCCACCACTCACCTTCCTCACCGACGACGAGAAAATGATGAAGGAGACTGGTGAGTTTCCCTTTGATCTAAACATATATTATTACAACCAACAAGCCAAAGTCAAACTGTAGCACAATTTTGATAAGCGCGTTTTATTTTCCATGCTGAATTTTTAGATATCTGTGTGGTGTTTAGTTTGACTTGATGTTACGTAACTCCGAGACTCGAATACTGCTGACATGCTTGTTTTGTATTTATTAATATTTTCTAGCTAAGGTTTCGCTGCAATAGTGGGTGTATTATTTTTCTAGTTTATTCTTTTTTGCTGATAAAGTGTCATTTTGTGAGGGGGAAAGCGAAGGATGTTGCTGCCAGATAAGCACACTTTTATTTTGATAGTGCAAGTAAAATTCGACCTCATATCAGTGCGCAGGTCGGCATTTTTGTAAAGTGTTTGATTGAATATATACGGTGCATTTTCTTTTTTTCCATTAAACGATCAAGCGAATCGCAAACATAAGCCTCATTAACATTTCCTATTGCGTGTATTTTAATTCAATTGCAGGCCGTTTCCGCCAATATTATATAATTTTGTACGCTGTTTGTAAACCGATTAAAAAGTTCAATATAATTTTTATACCTTTAACAGTTTTTAGAAAGGTATATTATTTTTTGTTGAAAAAAATATACCACAAAATAAATTACAAAATGATGAGATGTAGTTCCGGTAAAATGCCAACTGTCTATTTTATTTAATGTTTCCATAAGTTAAAATATGCAAAATTTAACCAACAGCTGCCACCTTGGCAAGTTCAAGGTCTAATCTTATCACAAGCTTTTTCTCGATGCTAAAACTTTCCTATCCCTTCGGTTATTTATAAAAAATTAATTTTTGTATTTTTTATACAAGCTGAAATGGGTAAAAAATGTTTCGAGTAGGTAAAACTCATTGTGGATGGGCCGAAAAAAGGGGAGGGTCGGCACAAACACAAACACGCGATACCCACTCCCGCTCACATACACGTGTTCTAAAAATAGCTTTTTTGTTACCACCGCCGCTAAACTTCGGATTCGTCTGCTGCTTTTCCTGGACTGGCGGTGGCGTACCGCTTTGAGCGGCCAGTAAATTGAAGAAGAACTCTATTTGAGCGCGAGTTCAAATTTCGTTACTATCTGAGACTCTCTTTTCTGCTAAAATATCTTAAAAGCGGGGGTGGTTTTTGTCTGTGTAGGCCCCCTAAAATTGTATTTATTGTTAGAATCCTACCACAATTTTCACAGGTCAGTCAGCTGTTCGGTTCTGGTTTTATACGTCAACCAAATAGCGTTACACTTGTGATAGAGCATTAAATGCGGCTGTGCCACGCCCCCTGCCCACCTGTGATCACTGTTCTAGTGATCACGCCGGACAATCAGGGGCGTGGCACTTGGCTGGGCGCCCTTCCCTAGAGAGTTGAATTAGTTGAGTGGGAGGACCTCGTCCGCCTGCAGTCCATCTAGTTCCTAGTTGGGAAGGTTACATTTTTTAAATCTTACAATTTATTAACCATACCTGCTTGTGAATCCCTAAATTATTCTCGATCTAAATGTATGGCTTCCTATATATTATATGTACATACATATGTACATACATACAATAATTCTAAGTGGGAAAGTATGTATGCGTTGATATGGGCTGACTGTTGCGTAATGTGAGCTGAATGCAAAGAAGCTAAGTGCATGAACTGAAACGAGTTTTAAATTTTTTTTAACTGGTTAAGCACAGTAACACATTAACACATCAGTTTAATGAACCAGAAAATAAATGGCTTAAAATACAAATTCCAACATTGTGGTGTCACTTAAAGGCATCAATTATAAAGATTTAGTTATTTAGTATGTTTGAATATTAACGAAAAATACTTTTTTTTTTTTAACACTAAAAAATAAATTTCCACACGTAGATTATTATAAGCAACGCCATAAAAAATGTGCTATTCTATTAAATTTCATATACTGGTTGTTCAAACGTCAAAGACCGATACGAAAAATATACCATTGTGCCCACTGGGACCTGCCACATCTGTCAGAAACCTACTGGGTCTTGCCCATATGGCTCGAAAACCACGTTAATATATTAAATTGGTCAATTATTAAGTATTTCCATGTTAAGTGAGCTGAGAGAATATTTCTAAATGTTCTCATGCAAAATGGCAGGAGAAGCGAGTCCAGGAGGGGAAACGATATGGGAACTTTAGTGGGTGTGTGCCAGTTGCTGGCTTTTCAAACGGAAAAACAACGCCAAGAAAAATAAAATGCTTAAAAAAGATCAATAATAAATACGCTGAAAGAGTAATAGAATTAGCAAAAGACAGCTGCGAGAGCGCCACGCGATCTGAAAACACGGAGAATCTGGTGATAAAAAAGCACACGCATAACCCACACACAAACTTTGTATCTGGTATACATATAAACATTTGATAAATAACTTAACTTATACAAACAGAAGACCAACAGCAAACACCGGGCCCCTTAGAAGACAAATAGTTAAAAAGAATAAAAAGCTCAATACCGGATTTTTAGTAAAAAACTTTCAGTTAAAGAACGGTGAAGCTTTAAGAAAACTTTGGTATACAGCTTTTAACAGATCGTTTTGCCTTTTTATGAAAAGCTATACATCATATACATTAAATATCAGAACATTTATTTTTATAATATTAACCACATTAACCATTTTATAATATTAACTCTGTAAGTAGATAAATACTTACAAAGTACTTATTGTTAAGTACAAACATAAAACCAAATTATATATTGATTTGCGCAATTAGAACATCCTAACCTTTTTCTCAATCTCTAAAACATTTTACTATGGTAAAAAAGTATGATTATTTAGTTGTTTTATGAAATATATAATAAACTTCAGTTTTTAACGTTTTATAGTTTTATAATTTATTGAATATTTGTTAACTTTCAGTTGCCAAGCTGGCTCAGGAGCAGATCCAGCCCTTGGTCAAGAAAATGGACTTCGAGCACAAGTTCGATCCCTCCGTGGTGAAGGCCGTTTTCGAGAACGGTCTGATGGGCATTGAGATCGACACCGAGCTGGGCGGCAGTGGCTGCAACTTCATGACCAACATCATCGTGGTGGAGGAGCTCTCCAAGATCGATCCCGCCGTGGCCGCCTTTGTGGATATCCACAACACCCTGGTCAACTCGCTGATGATTAAGTTCGGTACCGCCGAGCAGAAGGCCAAGTACCTGCCGAAGTTGGCCCAGGAGTACGCTGGCAGCTTCGCCCTGACTGAACCCGGCGCGGGATCAGATGCCTTCTCCCTGAAGACGGTGGCCAAGAAGGATGGCTCCCACTACGTGATTAACGGCTCCAAGATGTGGATCTCCAACTCAGATGTGGCTGGAGTCTTCCTGGTCTTCGCCAATGCAAAGCCGGAGGATGTAAGTTGACATTTTATTTGATCATTGGTTGTAGTAATAAGTATTATTAGTTCCTGGTTTGATCAAGTAATGGAGCTTAAAATAATTTTAGCGACCTCGCAATCGCAATTTAGTTATAAATTCTATAGCAAGTCAATTAGATTAATCTACTTCCACTAAATCAAATAACAAAAGAAGCGAAATGCATTTTAATGAACTTTATTTTAAAACATCTTCTTTTTAATATACTTTTTACTGGGAACACCCATTTAAGTTTTCACTTTTTTACTGAAACCTAATCGATCCCATAATATTTTCCATAGCTAATCTTTATGTATTTTTTAAACGATTGCCATCTTATCGCTCTGAGATCAAAGTTCACTAGGTTCATAATCGTCCTATGGCAACTTGCAAATTAGTTATTTATAGAACATACAAAAAAATATAATTTTTATTATTTAAAAGGTGTGCTTTATAAGGCAATATATATTGTCTATTTAAATATTTAAATTTTTTATGTCTTTACATTTATTGCAGGGCTACCGAGGCATCACCACCTTCATTGTGGACCGCGAGACCCCCGGTCTGATCGTGAACAAGCCCGAGGATAAGCTGGGCATCCGTGCCTCCGGAACCTGCCAGCTCACCTTCGACAATGTGCGCGTGCCCGAGGAGAACATCCTGGGAACCTTCGGACATGGCTACAAGTACGCCGCCGGCTTCCTGAACGAGGGTCGCATCGGAATCGCCGCCCAGATGGTGGGCCTGGCCCAGGGAACCTTCGACGCCACCATTCCGTACCTGCTGGAGCGCAAGCAGTTCGGAGACGCCATCTTCAACTTCCAGTCGATGCAGCACCAGATCGCCACCGTGGCCACGGAGATCGAGGCTGCCCGTCTGATGACCTACAACGCGGCTCGTCTGCAGGAGCAGAAGGTCCCGTTCCTGAAGGAGGCCGCCATGGCCAAGTACTACGCCTCCGAGGTAGCCCAGAGGGCGGCCATCAAGTGCGTCGACTGGATGGGAGGTGTTGGCTTCACCCGCGACTTCCCCCAGGAGAAGTACTACCGTGACGTGAAGATCGGAGCCATCTACGAGGGCACCACCAACATGCAGCTCACCACCATTGCCAAGTGCATCAAGAAGGATTACTCGGGTTAGGAAGTTCATCCTTCTCCACATGTTCCCCCACACAAGCTGAGATATCGTACGTCAGATACGTCAAGTGCATTTATGCGTGGGAACCGCCAAAACCATTTCAACGGACCTCCGTTGTCGGTTCCCTCCATGTTACCTTAGCATTTACCACATAGTCTTTCTGTTATATTGTATAAAATACAATTAAAATAAATATACATACAAAAATATAATAAAATTGTTTGTAGAGAATGCAACAAGTCAATGGCTGCTTCCGTCTGTGGTGGTGAAGGCCGCCAGCATTATGTTGATCACTGTGATCATGAAAACTCCCATTACCAGAAGATCATTGGTTCTTTCGTAGCTGCGATTTTTAAAACGCTTCAAGCGTCGCTGTGTGATTTCGATTTTACTAAGTTGTCTCACGGGAATGTTTCCTACATACCTTAAAGATCAGCATTATTCCAACTAAAAGCTGCAGTACCAGGGAGAGTATCACCAAAATCATGCTGTATATGTAGGTGGAGGCCTTGTCATTGTAGGTGATCAAAAACCGTAGCTGGTTGGCGTTTGCCGAAAGCAAAGCAATATCCATGAGACCTGGAGAGTAGATGGATGGTTTGACTGACCAATTTATAATGTGTTCTATAAAGTATTCAGTTTGATGCAACCTAAAAATATTCATTGTCATGTTCCTTAAATAATGCAGAACAAAAACTTAATATGTTTTGGAAGAAGCAATATAGTAGTCAGATTAAAACTATTAATGTTTACCTTCGGCTACATTTTTGTTTGTAGCATAGCTATTTCCCCCTGACAGATCGCTGGAACATTTCTTTTTTGTTCCCTTCGATTTCTTCAATTCGCCGGGTGGAAACGGTTCATCTTCTGGTTCCTTGTCTTCCACCTGGATATCCGCATCCAAGTTATTTCCTAGACCGCAACATGGTCCACTTGTTGTGCTGGCGAAACTTCCCCCAGAACTGGGGGAATCTTCCATAGATATTTTTACCTCCTGGCTGTCCATTGTTCGAATATCCACCAAATAATAAGCACTTAAATACACTTGTTTTGTTAAGAATGCGAAAAGCTTTCCATGCTGTGGTCTGCGGTTTATTAAAGGCGATAAAAAATTAGTGACACTGACCCGACTGGTCAACCGACCCCAAAAAAATGGGTCATCAGTCGACCCGAAAAACATGATGGGTTGAAATGCTGACTAAACAAGCTAGCCTTAAAGTATGCTAAGCAAACTCATTTAATATGCATGTCAAGTGGGTGTGTAAAATTAATTTTTAAGTATGCTCATATACTTAACTTTGTTTGAGAATCCCCACCTCGGAAATCCCTTTGCATTATGCTGTGTGTGGGAAGTCATAAAAGAGTCACAAAAACCTGAATAAACAAGACCCTCTTTCAAGACTTTTTGAGATGCGCAACAAAAGTTTAAAGTTTCTTAAAGTTTTGACCTCATCAATTTCCTGTGCCCTTTAATGACTCATATTCACAGGACTCGTTAAAAATTGAAAATTAAATCGGGGTAACCTTAAACAAATTATTATGGATTCAATAAATTTTAAAACCTAAAATAGACAGCTGTCAAAAGCATGTCAATATCCCAGCGAAACCTTAGAGGGTAGGCAAAAAAGTTTTAATTAAGATGAATCTAAAACGTCTTTTGAGTTTTAAGTTTTTTTTTTTATTTATATCTTTAATATATAAATAACTTTATATATAAATTACTGTACATATAAATTATATATAATAATATTTCTAAGTAGTTTTTACTGTAGCAAATTATTGTTTGCGTAAAATTGATATTTGTATTCTCTGCGTATACGTAATTTTTTTACAATCACTTTAAACATGGCAGCCTAATAACGTCGGCTTGGCGCAGATTTTTTGAACTGTCTTATATTATAGATATATAGATATTTTATCTTTTAATATTGGATTTTGGAAATTTTCGACCCGCCCATTAAAGTCTTGTCGCATTGCAGGACCTAAAACAACATGTGCGTCACGACACCCCCTCGTTGCTCCATAAAAAAAGGCAGCCCGCGACCAAACAGGCAAACACAATAGCTCTCTCCTCTCCTTTGAACCGGCTTTCTCTTTGCTTTTTGCCACCCCCACCCTCACCCCCTTTGTCTAGAGGTCCTAAAAAGCACGTGTAGTTTGTTTGCCACTTTGTTCGTTGTTTGTTATGACTGGAACTGGCTCTCTCGTACATCGTGCTCTTCTGTCAAAGATGTCTTACACTTTAAGATAAAATCTTGGGTCAAAAAAAAGAGTATATCCCATACGGAAGCAGAACAAAAAGTTTGAGAAAAACAATATTAACAAAATTAGCTCAAGATTAGCTAAAATTAATATCAGCAATAGATTTTAATGGTGAGGTATGGGTGAGTTTCTAGAAGTTAGCATTACTATTTCATTAACCTAACAATGTAATATGCTAATTTAACATTTTAGTTTTAAAAGTGCAAAAAAGCTGAATGTATTTGCACTCTGTTTCTCCAGGTGTACGCACTTGGCCGCAGTCTCGCTCTCTCTCTCTCAGTTTTTAGCCGTGTTTCTCTCTGTGTGTGGCTTCATTCATGCGATTGCAGTCGTTGGTTGCACGCATGCTCAAAACAGAGACTCAAACGGCAACGGACTTTGTTTCGAGGTTCTCAGACGGCGGTTTTCAGTTCTGTTTGGAACGTCGGCCCCTTTGGTAGTACTTTTTCAGTTTTCGGTTTTTAGGTGTTCCACGCTCGGTTCTAAGACTGTTCCTCCCTCTTTTCGTCTTACGCCAATACGCCCCCCAAAGCGACCCGGTAAAAATACTATTGGATGAATCCGCGAGTGCCGAAACGTAAACTTTTCATTGATTTTCCCAGGTTAATTTTGGTGTATAGATAGATATACGACCCGTGCCTAAATATAAATAAGACCGACAATGAGTTTCACCTTCGAGTAGTCCAGATTCCCTAGGTGAGTTTTTTGGTAAACGGACAAAAATCAATGACCGAAAATCGCATGTGTCCGCCGTGACCTCAGTAGGCTCCATTTTGTGTCTCGCTCTCCGAAACCTCGCTTCTTATTTTTTTGGGCCTTTTCTTGCTGCGCCAAACCTGACCCGGCTATCAAGAAAACTGCTTATAAAATCAATAGCTTGGCCTAAACTTACTTATTTATATTGCATAATACAAGAATGTCCTCAAATTAGAAGACACTAAGAAGCTCAACCTACATCTGCAGATTCCGCTACCAAGGTTTTTTTTTATAATTACAGCTGCTACAATATTGCCGTAATACTCTTTACTTTTATTTCTCATCTTAGAAGTACTTATTGAAATATATAATTCTTATAATGAGACAATTCTCATCTCTATTCCTATAATATCCATGAGAAAGAATACCTAAATAAAAATAGTACTAAACCATTTAATATTTTTAAATAAATTTAGTTAAGTATGTATTAACGGTATAATTTAGTCTGGACTCTACGTATTTCAAATTTGTTTTGTGTCGTCTGTCTGCATTGCCCAAAGAGTAATAATCTACTTAGTGAGAGGGCCTCGACCAGATGTCTGGGTGCAAAGTTTCACTCACTGATAAAGGCTTCCCTGTTCTTGCCGTTTCTGCTGCCCCAAGTCTTATCAGCAGTCCAATGCGCTGGGGATGCGCTCCACAGTCCGTTTGTTTATGTGGGAGAATTGGAACGGCGATTGTTTTTGCACAAGCGCAGTCTTCAAATCGCTGAAGTGGGAAACCTAAGCGGATTAAAATTTTACAGTAAGGCTAAGAATGTTTTATTTGCTGCATTCGAATTTTAAGAACACGAGGGGAGCTAATCCAATGGGGTTTACTACACATAAAGATTAGATTAGGTTAACACAAATAAAAACCATTAAACTACTATGCACGTAAGGTGTAATATCATTCCGGATTCCAGAAAAAGATTTGTTACTGTTTATTATGTTAATTAAATCCACTACACTTTATAAATAGACTGGGAATTTTCGAATGCAGTGATTGAATACCAAAACCGGTTTGAGCTTTTCTCTGTCTAATTGCTGGAAATGTTGATCAAACCCCAATAAATATTTCAGCCTTGATAAATGGGAAATTCACGTATAAATTATTCAATATTGCGAAACTAGTTATGTATATATGAAGTAAAAAGTACTGCAATTGTTTATGTTTTAAGGTCAAGTAAGACTACTAATCAATGTCAGGAAATAAACAAAAATGAACTGGGATTTTGTAGTCAGTAACTTTAAATAAAAACAATAATAAAATTACGTTTCAAGAGTTCCGCTAAAAATTAATTTAAAATAAGCTTATTAAAAAGCCCTCCTAGCAATCTGTAATCTGTGTTAGCTTTCATAGACTGATAAGTAGATTGCCAAATATAACAGATAATGCCAAAAGCGTACAAATATGTCTAACAGAAGTCGGTGTACCTAATTGCATTGCACTTGTTCAAAAATGTACTTTAACAATGCTTTTAAACATTGAACTGTGGACTTCTGTATAAAGCATTTTTTCTCATATCTGGTAGGCTCAATCTACACTAAAAATGGAATTGTTTAAAGTCCAATTGAAATAATCTTCCCAAATTAAACGCATTTTAATTGTTGTCACTTGACTTTTCAAGGGGCCACTGGCAATTATCTATCCATAAAAAAGGTAGATGTGTGCATATGGATTACCCTCTAATTAGGCGGAAAATGTATGTTATTCATGTTGTGTGGTTTTGCCCTCTGGTTCAGCTTGATTGCACTCTGTGGACATGGGAACTTATAATTTTTTATGAGGAGCTACCCCACTTTCCGAGTGTATTGTTTCCCAAAAAAAGGAAGAATATGAAATCAATATCGTTAGACTTTTGGCTGATGTTTGCACTTTTATTGATTATTTTTCAGGCTATCTTTTGCGGGCAATCATTAAGCTAAACACGTAACATCAACTCAGGTAACTCAGGAAAAACAACTACAATAAATAACAACAAACTACAACTACAACAACAATAAAACAATAATACATATAAGAAAACAGAGAACGATAACCATGACGCCTGAGAAATCTGTTATGGCCTACGTCAATCATTTGATAGTCAGCAATTTTTCATATTTCTGTAAGTATTGTTGCATTTAATTCATAAATAAAATTAATAGAAAAAGTGTTATAAGCTCACCGAAAAGTTTTGAAAAATGTTATTTCTTTAGTTTACTTGGTACTCTCATTTTGTTTTTAATTGTAATAATTAATTCTTTAAAATAATAAGCAATTTAAGCTGGAGCCCATATCAGAACGTTGTTAAAGCTTCTGACAAACACTTGTTCATTTTTATTTATAATGCAATTTTATAATTTCTTCGAATTAATGTTCTAGGGGACGAGATCGATGGCTATCTGTACTATTTGGGCGGCACTTTGGGCACATTAACCCTAGGAAGCCTGGCAGCCAGTGTTGCATACTACTTTGCAACAAGACCCGTTCCGGAACGACCGTTAGTGCCTCTGGAAAACCAATCTCCATTGCTAGAGGTATGATGATTTCGCAATTGATAAACTTCGATCGAATCAATTACATCATTGCATGCTCAATTGAAAATTGCTTGTCTTAGTTTTCTGTTTTCTTTTGCATATCGGTTTGTTCTATTTGAGGTAGAACAGGCGAATCCCAGTGGCATATGGGCCAAAAAAAGCTTTGATGTGCACATGTCCACAATCACGTTGAGTGCGATCACGATTCGGATTCCCAAATACCGATTCTGTTTCGTTGTTGTCGTCACATGATTTCCACACATTTTCACAATTTCGATTTTCATTTTCGCCTTTGTTCTTCGACTTTTAGCCATGACGTCTTTGCGACAGTGGTGCAAAAGTGGTTAAAAATAGTTGCACAACCTCACGCTCTAATTGAGTGCCTAGCAAAGTGGGAAACAGTATAAATTTCTCTTGCCAAGACTGCAACATTTTTGCTGATAAATTATCAAACGACAGCAGCACGACAATAATAAATCTTGTCATGGCTCAATTGGCATTTTTCCCTAATTAGTCGCCCGGCTCTCTCAATTTCGATCTATGCAAATATTTCCCCCATCCACCACCACACAAATGTCAAAAGCATTTCCTCCCACTGACAATCGCCGGCATTTTGCTCTGAGTTGGTGTAACGGACCTTTCCTTTTGTGTTGGTGTCATGTAAATAAACAATTATTGACACAATACCATATTTCTCGAAATATTTGCCTTGCTAAAATGACAAGCTACATTTTTCGGGGGTTGACACAGTGGAACTCGGTAAACATAATTATTAATTAGGCGCGAATGTGCGAAAATAAAATTATAAAGAACTTAGGTGCTTATCAAATACTAATACATAAAATGGGCTTAATACGTTAATTAAATTAAAGGAACAGATAAATAATATTTTTAAATTGTCAATATTTGAGGGAGCTAGGGTAATAAAAGGATTTTTGTTTTTAAGAACGGCATGAGACAGATGAAACATGTTTTTTTCATGTTTTGTTCTATAATAAAATATTTACTTTTTGCTAAACTAAACTTATTAAAGTGTGTTAAAAATACAACTCTAAAAATTTGTTTATCTCTTATTTAATTTAAAACTTAAAATTACCGTTTATATTTGAATGTATACTTTCTACATTATGTTTTTCTGCATCAAACCGGTTTAAAGCGGTATTTACCTTTTTTAGAAAGCAATGCTATTGATTTTAAATCCCCAAACACACCACTTTAAAAAATATATACCCCCAACTAGCATCTTCCATCAAACTTAAATAAATAATCACTCGAAAACGAAAACCAAACAATGAAAAAACAATAAGGAAATGTCAAACTTTTGACAGGACAGGGTCAACCTGTCGGCAAATGAGGCAGGTACATACTATATACGCATGCTGATGTAAAATATGTACTATGTTGTGCTTCTCTGAATGTTTGTCACTTTGTGTGTTTGTCTAGTCTCGTCTGGCGATGCAAGTTCTCACGTATAGAGCGCTTTCCAATATGTGAACACTAAATTACTAATGTGCGCAAATTGAGGTGCAAATGACACGATAAATATGTGCGAGGGGAGCCATCTATAAACTAATGTCAACCAAATTGGGTATGAAAATGAGTTAAACAAAAACTTAAATGAATTAGAATAATTGCCGGTAAACCATTTATTTCAAATTTACATAAATAACGACTAGAATTTAAAAAGGTTTTACATAATTGTTCTTGTAAAAAGTAACAAACTATTTTTAGATTCCTTTTTATAATTTATTTTTTAACTACAAATATTATTTAACACATTCCACGGTTATAAGAATATATGGTTTATTTGGAATAGATACCAAAAAGTAAACAAATGATTTCTATTCTTAGGGGGTCAGAAAAATGGGCGTGGTCCTGCCTTACGGATCATAAATCATGTTGGTTATTAAAGAGTTGAAATATTGCTGTCACTACTAGAACAAATTTATTGGGTTCACTTCGTTAGGAAACCTGCATATATAGTCAAACGCCGTTTGATGGGGTGTATTCAAAGGAAAATCTTAGACAGACCGACAACTTGATCGACCAAAAAAGTAGAGCAAAACTATATACAAAAAGAAGAACCGTTTAATATCAAAATAAGAACATATAAACGAATAAAATTCCTAGCCGAACGCTGCATTCTTCTTCATGATCGCCCCGATAGTCCTCCTGAAAGCCCGAAAATTTCCTCTCAATTCAGCTCATTTTCTCTCCCAAAAGAAAAGAAGATTCCTCGGGTCGGCCAAAATCATTTTTAGCTACGACCAATATTTTACTTCTGCCATTTAGTTCGAAATTCAACATCGTGTCGCGCTGATCGTGGCGTGCTCAAACCCCAAGAATAAATTTTAAGTTAGATAAATCCCAAAAAAAAAAAAAAACAAAAAAAAACAAGCAACAAAAGCAGCAACATAATGTACATATCGTATATATATATTCTGAAGCAAACGTATTTTTTATAAATAATAGCTCGTGTATACTCAACAAAAAGAAAATAAAGTGTGAAAAAACGCACGACAATTTGCAACAAATTGACAAAAATACAAGCGTTTAATCTCATTACGTAAAGCGCAGGAACCCAAAAAAATGTTCAAAAAAGTGGAAAGAAAATAACGAAGAAAAATTAAAACATTTTCCAATGGAAATCGATTTGCCAAAGTGTCAAAGTGCCGCCAACGTTGCCATGTGAACTCAGTCCCTCAAGTTCAAGTTCACACAGATTCTATATCTAAAACATCTAAAGAAAAACACAGCCCGCAAAAAGATACTTGTATACTTAATTTTAATATGATTTGATTCCAAATTGGTTTGATGGATGTTTGTGGTTTTGTTGGTTTAGTTTGCCATTGTAAACAACTTACCATGAGTTGATACTTACCATTTTCACTGATTCTCCATAAAATGTTTATAGCTGTTTATATTTAGGATGAAATTTAAAGATTTCCCCTCCCATCTCCAAATCTATTTGGACCATGTGCTCTTTAAACGTAAATTCCTTTGTAAAACAATTTTGATTTATCTATTATTCAAAAAGTATTTTAAGTAGCAAAACTCATTAGGGTCGTACATAATCGACATTTGCTATTGTGAAATTATTGTAAAATACTATAAAGCTCTGAAAAAACATGAATTCCTTTAAAAATTTTAATCTTTGCATTTTGGTACTATTTTTTATAGAATTCTTTTAAATTGCATGTCGAACCAAAATGCCAGCAATCTATCTTTATTAACCAAGTTGAATATCATGAAGCGAATACTTTTTCACAGAAATGTTCTTATGTGTAGTGTTGGAAGTTATAATCAACACAAACTGAGGAATCTTTGCAAGTCTTTCTTTAAAAAGGTTGATTTAGCTGTTCAATTCCAAAACATTTAAATTAATCTTTTTTAAAGAACGAAAATAAAACAGTGATCACATTAGAAACATGTATTTAAAACCAGCAATGACCCATAAAATGTGTCTGCCACCTGGAAAAAAGTAATGAGAAGTCTCCCAAGCGACCCTGAAATATCCGCATATTTTCCCTGGGTTTTCGTTTATTTTTCTTAAAAATATGCTGTCGAGCTATTGATATGCTGCAGATCCCAGTGAAATTCTTATGGCCCGGTGTTTCATTCATTTCTTTTCATTTGCTCTCACCCTTACTCTGGCCAATAGTTTATGACCGATTTTATGACCACTACAATTACCATAACTCAAAGTTGAATTGCTCATTGAGGAAAATGTTTGCTCTCTGCCAATCGCCCCAACACATCCCAATGAGCCCCGAAACGCGTTCCCCATGACTCAGTTCTCGATCGCCTCTTAAGATATTTAAAGCCTTTTTTTGTATTTTGCAAAAAGTATTTATTGTTCCTGGGTGTGTGTGAAAATATGTTTTTATTTTATTATTTTTTTTTTTTGGTTATTGCGGCCACACACACGGGTCTCGTAGATAACAACAGAGTTGAACGTTTTTACCCCCAAACGAACTATTTATAAATTAATTTGGGGCAGGCCAACAGACGACGCCTTGTCGATATTGTTGGCGGTTCTCTCTTTCTTGTCATAGTCTTTTTGTACCTTGCTCTTTTCTTGCCCCTTTGGGGCTGCCCTGCAGCTGCCAATATTGAAAAATTATAAGCAAAATTGAATTGGCCTGCACTTGCCAAAAATATGTAAACGGACAGCCAGGCGTTGTAATTATGCATTGGTTCATAACTCCTTGACTTGCCTTTAACAAGACGTTATTTACGGCATTACAAAAAAATGTGTTGTTTATTTTGATAAAATGTGCCCTATTTTATTAAATACCTTCGGACTTTAATTGAAAATAGCGTTTTGTAGCTTTTTAATATTATTAATTTTTGTGCAAATATATCTCAAGCTCATTTCAATTATGCTTCAAGGAATTTTGTTTTCAATTTTTTGTTGGTGTTATTCAATGTTTTGTATCTTGAAAGGGGTCGATAAATACTTTATATATGTAATTCTAAAAAGTGCTGTTGCGTACACAAAAAGTACGTCTAATATTTGAAAACTAATTACACGAAAAATTACGGCTGATATTTGGAAAACACTTACCACACACCCTTCAATTACAAATCAAATGGCTATTTTTATGCGCGCTAATTAGCATTTAAACGATCTCTGTGTGGATATGAAATGCGTATAATTTGGCACATCAAATAAATACGTTGCTTGGTGAAATCGAACGTGCGATTTTTCAGGCAATAAAACGACAATAATGCAAATGGATAAAGAAGTGTGACAAAATTCGAGTGTGTGTTTTGCAGTCGCTTGGAAAATGTGCATTTTAAATGCCAGATGAAATCTGAACGATCAATAAAGGAAGCCAGAAGTGAAGAAAGTGTTAAGAAATCTTAAAAATAAAGTCAACTAAACGTTATAATAAAATTGAAAGGAAATCATGTCTTGTTGCGGCCAAATTACAAGTATAAGAGTGCCCATCGAGCTGAGCAATCAGAGTGATGTGCTCAAGGTAAAACTTTATAAGAAAAACTCCCCTTAAAAATACAAATACCTTCCTAACACCAGATTCACTAAGCAGTAACTAATAAAAACTTTATTTTGCTTCTTTTTTTGTTTACTGTCTCCTACATTTTCGTGGGCCAGATCATATATGATCATCGTCTTGATATCCACCATAGGGTAGGCCTCATGTGCCCCTCGGCGTATGCTCCTAAAACTAACATATTTCGCCTTAGACTTGCGTCATCAATGAAATATAATATAAACAAATTTAATTTGGAAAGCACTTTAATCTGGGAATAACAATTGGTTTTTGAAAATACATTAGCATATTGCTCATTAAAATCAACCAGCAAAAATAAACAAACTAACTCTTAGGTTCCTCCTCCCAGAACCCCCAAAAATATTCCCCCGTCGTAGTGTATTTGGATATTCGTTCCCGTACATCAACACTTTTGGCCATTGCAGCAATTTCTTTCGCAGATGTTTACCATAAAGGAAGTGCTATATGGCGCTTCTTTTCCCGTCGATTGATAGGTTTATGTCTCTAGCCCCAAAATAAACGATATATCATAGAAATCGGCTACGTCCACATATAAATTGAAATGGTTATTGATTTTATTCTAAAATTTGGGTGTGATTTATTGTCTGTTTCGAAAAACCTCAAAAAACCGAAAATACAAAGAGAAAAAATAATCAAACGAAAAAACCTTTTCAATTCGTTATTGAAAAATTCAGTTCATAGTGAAAAGTTGATTGAATAAAAACTTGGTTTTTAACTAAGACCCAAAAATTAATGGAACAGCTAGAATTTGTTGACTGAAGACAAGCAATTCATTAAAATACAATATTTGCATGTGAATCTCCGACCTACAGCAGCCCTTATACCTAAACCTTACCCACTGATTTATTGATTGTATATATTCTACTCCATTGAATTCTCTCAACGTTTCTCACTCATTGCATGTCCTCGATCTCTCTGTCTCTTTTCGGATCACTCACTCGCATTGCAGGGTCCAGAACAAATACACGTCTCCAAGTTCTACAAGGAGTCGAAGAACGGAAAGTTCGTGTCCTACATCACAGAGAATGTCCGCACCTTGTACCAGACGTTCCGTGAGGGCGCCTACGCCTCCAACAATGGGCCGTGTCTCGGTTGGCGTGAAACCCTAACATCCCCGTACCAGGTGAGTTAATCTGTAACGTTCTTCAAAACTTCTTTACGTTTCCTTATTTAGGTTTTAGGGAGCCTTTTATATTATTAGGTTTTAACTTTGTAGTGTTCACAGATAAAATTGTTTTTTGATATTTAATCAGCATCACAATTTTAAAGTTAAATGTTAAAAATAAAAATCTCTTAATTCATTTTCTAATTTTATTTGTTTTGGATAGCCTATACTGTATCTATCTTTAAATTCTATATGAGATCTATATGAGCTATTCAACAACTAAAATAAATAAAAAATGTTGTTTCTTATGAAGTTTAATTGTTTTGAGTTGCTCCCATACATTTTTTTAATATTTTTATAAATCTGTAGTAAAAGTTTTCTTTCCCTTTCCTGTTGAAATTATGTGGTTTTTCCTATTTAGTGGATCAACTATGATGAAGCCCTTCTGCGAGCCAAGAACTTTGGAGCCGGAATGCTGGCGCTGGGAGCCCGCCCGAAACAGTTGATTGGAATATACTCGCAGAACCGGCCAGAGTGGATCCTGTACGAGCAGGCCTGCTACTCGTTCTCTTTGGTGGTGGTCCCACTGTACGACACCCTGGGTCCCGACGCCTGCGCCTTCATCATCCGCCAGACGGACATGTCGATCGTGGTGGTAGAGGATGACGGCAAGGCGGCTATGTTGCTGGAGAAGGCGCCTCGCAGTCTGAAAATCATAGTGGCCATTAAGCCCATCCGCCAGACGACCTTGGAGCGAGCCCGCAGTCGGGGCATTCAGATATTCTCCTTCATCGACGTGGAGAAACTGGGGGCCAAGGGCAATCATCCGGAGGTGGCGCCTACGGCGGAGGATCTGTGCACGGTGTGCTACACCTCCGGAACGACGGGCAATCCCAAGGTATTATTTTTATACTCAGATTATTCATAATACATATTTAATTATATATTAATTTTATTCGTAGGGCGTGATGCTCACGCACGGAAACGTGGTGGCCGGCGTCTGCTCTGTGATCCTGCAGATGGGCGACCATCGCATCCGGGCGGGAGATGTGATGGTATCCTTCCTGCCCCTGGCCCACATGTTCGAGCGGTGCTGCGAGAACGGCATGTACTACGTGGGCGGCTGTGTCGGCTTCTATTCCGGCGACATCAAGGAACTCACGAACGACCTGAAGATGCTGAAGCCAACCGTAATGCCGGCAGTGCCACGCCTACTGAACCGCGTCTACGATAAGATCCAGAATGATATTGCGGCCTCGGGGCTGAAGAGGGGCCTCTTCAACATGGCCATGCGGGCCAAGGAGAAGGAGATCGCCAGGGGAGTCCTGCGGAGGAACGGATGCTGGGACAAACTGGTCTTCAAGAAGGTTCACCAGGCATTTGGCGGCAATCTGCGCCTCATGGTGGTGGGCTCGGCTCCACTGGCCGGCAATGTGCTGACCTTCATGCGCTGTGCCTTGGGTTGTTTGGTTCTCGAGGGATATGGCCAAACGGAATGCACGGGGGCCATAACTCTCACCGTTCAGGGTGATCACGTGCCCAACCACGTGGGACCTCCCGTGTCCTGCAATGCTGTGAAACTGGTGGACGTGCCGGAGATGGAGTACTTTGCCAATCAAAATACGGGGGAGGTGTGTGTGCGAGGATCCAATGTGTTCCACGGGTGGGTAACCTAAGTACTTAACCCAAACCTTTAACTAATTCATTCAAAATGTATTTAGTTACTATAAGGATCCCGAAAAGACGGCGGAGGCGATTGATTCCGAGGGATGGCATCACACCGGCGACGTGGGCATGTGGCTTCCAAATGGAACTCTGCGGATCATCGATCGCCGCAAGCACATTTTCAAGCTCAGCCAGGGCGAGTATATAGTTCCCGAGAAAATCGAGAACATCTACACGCTTAGCCAATATGTTAACCAAGTCTATGTTTACGGAGAGAGCTTAAAGGTAGGATTTTTATACACAAGATTTACAAAACAGAACGCAAATAGGAAACTTAAATGTCTTAGAAGACTTCCTGTTAAAATATTTATATAAGTCATTGAACAAACGAATTTTAGTTTCAACAGTTATTGTTCCATGGTTTAAAAAAAAAAAACATACATTTTTACGTTTAGAAAACAATAAGAATAATTTGAAGAAAATAAATTTTAAAGCAGTTTCTATTTATAATGATTTACATTTTAAAGATTTTAAAATTATGGTTAAATTTAATTTACATTTTTGTTACTTTTCCAGAGCTGCATTATCGCTGTTGTTGTACCTGATACCGATGTACTGAAGCAATGGGCCACGGAGAACAACGTACGCGGCACGCTCTCCGTCCTTTGCAACAATAAGAATGTCAAGGAACTGATCATGAACGACATGCTCAACTGGGGCAAGCAGAGTGGACTTAAGTCATTCGAACAGGTAAGTTAATACTACCCAAAAGTTAGAAGTAAAACTTAATGTTATGAATAACAATTTTAGGTAAAGGATGTCTATCTACATCCGGATCCCTTCTCGGTGCAAAACGGACTGCTCACGCCCACATTCAAAGCCAAGAGACCGCAATTAAAGAGCTATTTTAAGCCGCAGCTGGAAGATATGTATAAACACCTGGATTAATGCAATACCCAAACCAAAACCAACAACGAATCGAACTCAAGAAGCTGGGAAGCATTCATTCAAATATGCCTATACCATTTTAAACTGATGATAACAAAGACTACAAATACAGATACAAAAGCGAACTGTCTAATTTTGTAGTTTCGTCAATTCATAGCAAGTAAGAGAGCGCAAGATAAACCAGATAACACATAAAATATACACTTTCAAACTGACAAGGATGATCCTTTTGACAGCCGCATTTTTATATAGTTAAATCGAGAAGCGATCCCCTATAAACATGTTAACTATATATTTTCCTTAACACTTACGATCTAGTTCAAAGTGAATAGAACAAAATTGCGTAGTCTGAACCAAAACATATATAACTAACATATTGAGCAAATTGAATAAAATGAAAGCTTTAATCAACTATCGTATACTACACTCAGTTAGTTGAAAAACTGAAGTGAAGAATTAACTTTTTAAACTATAGATTAGACTCGCTAAACTAAACTTATGAAAATCAAATGTTCAACGCAATTGCTGAGAAAGTCAACTGAAAATACAAATGTCAACCGAGAAGCTGATCAAACTTAATGATAAATATGAAAAAGATTTACTTCTTTGGACTGCACTGTCTGCCTTATAATATACCAAATGAAAATTTATTAATAGATTGCTAAAACAAAAAACTATTTCATATTTAGAGCTTAACAATAAAGTAAAGCAGCAATATATTAATATTATTACTTCTTTATGTATGTACAAACGAAAGATAATTCAAAATAAAATTGAAATAAAGAAAAATAAAATAAAAAATATACTGAGTTTTTGTAAATTTATTTTTTGAATTTAGCGTTGCCACCTAGCTTAAGTATGCAAAAGCTCTTCGGCTTTTTTGGGAGGAAGATGCCCGACCTTCCTAAATACATTTTGAATAAAATACGCCGTATTACTGACTATTTGCTCCAACTTTTAATACATTTGAAAAACTTTTCAACATAAAGGATTCTTCTCTGTGTATATAGTTTAATGACATTCAATTTCAGCTTAATTTAATAGGGACCAAAGCTCTTGGAATGCAAGACAAGAAAATCTTGTGAATCGAATTTAAGAACAATTCAGACTTGAGTGAGCTGTTTTAGTTGTTTACGGTATCAAACGCATTAAGTTCTAATTAAAATGTACAAATGTGTTTAGTCATTGTGTCGGGGGATGGGTCTTAGCTAAGTAATCAAGTGTGTATCCATCGATATCTGACTTAAATTCACTAAACAGGTTGATTTAACTACGCGTTGATCACAGCTCGCCGTGCTTAGGCTCATGAGAAGGCGTCACAGTGGTGACTCCTGCGGGTTCGGCATCTGAATCATCAACAGTAGAGTCCCTGCCATGCGCATTCTCGTGATCCTCGATGCGAGCCAACAGGGTCTTCAGCTCAGCATCGTAGTCCTTCCACTCGGGCACAATCCTTTGAGCGGCGGTCAGTTTGGCCTCCTTGGTCTGCGGGTTGTTGCACAGATCGATCACCTTGGCACTCTTGAAGTTGCTGTCACTGCACCACGTCTGGCACCACAGCCAATCGTCGGGCAGGGACTTGATGGCCACCTGGTGAATCATGTTGTTGGGCAGGTCCTGATCCAGGTTTGACAAGCTGTTTGGATCCTGGCTGAGTGCCTGGTATTGACCTCTCAGTCGATCTCCTGCTGCAATCTTGCGGAATCTCTTCAAGTCCACCACGTACAGAGCCGAAATGTGGTATCGCCTGCCCATCAAATGGCTGCGCCAGTAGCCTTGCTTCCAGAAACGGAAGCCCTCCATCTCCTTGCGCGAATCGCAGAAGGGTGTGTAGGCATAGGGCGCTCCTCCGAGGTCCAAGTCATACAGCTCCTTTATATCGGTCCTTACAATGGCGTCAGCATCCACGAAAATGATTTTTCTCACGTTCAAAGGGAAGAGCACGTCTAGGAACAGGATCTTGTAGCCCCAAATGGTCCTCTGCTTTTCCGTTTGCTGGTGCAGCCAACGTGGCCATTTGTATTGGACCAACTCGTACTGGAAGTTGTACTCACTGGCCATGTGGGGCAGGAAGTCAGTGAATTGCGGCGATAGGTAGTTCTTCAAGAACCAGAACTTTACGGGAGATTTTGTGTGCTTCAGCAGGGAAACCATCATGATCCGCAGCAGTCGTTCGTAAAGATGTCCCGATGCCACAGAGAAAATGTTAATCGTTTCCGTGTCCTCATCAGCGGCTGGTTGGTTGGCATTGCTGCCACCAAAACTGCTGGCTATGCTATTCCAAATGCCAGATTGCGCTGCCTGCTCATTGTCATCCGCCAGGAGTTCCGCCTGCTGCATTCCTGGCTTCTTGGATACCCTCAATTTTACTACATGGGAACGAAGGGAGGTTATGAGAACTTGAACATCAGTTGATCCAGCGGAGTGATGGGTATTGGGTCCCTCAATGTGACTTATTGCATAAATATCGGTGGACTTTCCATCACGAAGGCGGAGTGACCAAGCCCCCGGATTGGCTTTCAGTTGGAAATAGCCCAAGTTAGCCATCACAATGGTGTCCACTAGGATGGGCTGACTTTGTGTGCCCAAAACCAACTGCAGTCCTCTGGGCGGCGCTCCACTAGAAGCATCAAAGCAGTGACCCTCCAACAGCAGATACTCCAAATCGAATTCGCTGTGCACGGGCCCTCCGATGTCGGCCAACTTAATGTTATCCAAGTCGTATACTGCCCGTACAGCTTCTACCAACCAGTTTTCTGGAACCTGCAATTGCTGAGTCAGCAAGGGATTGGCGGGCAACCCACTGAATTTGGCCAACGGACCCTCGGATCTACCGCCATTCGCCTCGAACTGAACTTCGGGTTCTACAACGTACCTATAAAAGTTCTTCACCGGCATGTCGCTGTGCTGGGGCACTGGAATCAGATACAGGTTCAGTTGGCAGTTAAGCACTTGACGGAGCAAAATCAGTATTGGCGTTAGTTTTTGGGCTGAGCGAGAAGCGGGATCCAAAACGGCAGCAATGTCAAAGTGAGGAAGCTTCTCCTGTTTGGGCGGTAGTTTCACAACCGAGTGATCGGACCTCAAGTCCGTGGGCAGCTTGAAACGCGTTTTGGTTTGTCTGGGCAGCAAGCTTGCATACAACTTAAGCAACGTATCGCTAGTAAATTCTTCACTGACATCTTGGGCAGATTCCTTCAAGACCTGTCGGACCTTATCACCATACTGCAGGGAACTGAACCTGGCCAACAAGGCAAAGTCGGCACTATCGAAGGTTTCCTCCGAGGACAGAGGGCCATAGAGGCGTCCATTGCCAATAACCAAACGCTGGGACTTATTGAGACCCAGCACACGCTGCGAATATACCCTCAACATCTTCAAGTGCAGCTCTGTGGAACCAAGAATATCCTCCAACTGAGAGGGTGTCTCAATCTTCTCCTTTGGTTTCTTCAGCCACTTGAGGACCTGCTCAGTGGCTTGAGTTGGTGGCAGACTCTGCATGGCTGCCCAGACCAGACGATTGAGGTTTTTCCTGTCCGAACCGGAAGAGCTTTCAGTGTTTGGTATGAAAGCCAGCCGCACACTCTCTCCGCTCTGGACGTATTCCAAAGCATGAGTTAGGAGGGCTCGGCCCTGTTCAGTCTCCAAGTCGGCAAACACCCAAATCGTAAGGAACTGCAGTGATGATCGACCAATCAGTTCTGTGGACTTCTTGCCTCCAAAGTATTTGAGATTTTCCATCAACGTTGCGGTCATATCCCGATTCGAGAGACGGTTTAAAACACCAACATTACCCAGGTTCTTGTAGGCCACTCCGTTTATATCCAGATATTTCACGTCCTCCTGACTGAGAATCCTCTGATTCAACCTAGGCATCACATGTGGTTGATTCATCAGGTAGTCAATAGCAACTTCGCTATCCGTCAGGTCACCTTTGTACACTGCCTTTTGCAAGTTGGCTGTGTGGGTCATGATCTCAGTGAAAATGGCCTCCTCGAAGTCACTATCTGCGGTTACAACATTGCTGGGCATTGGGACACCGTTCAGCAGAGCCTGAGGTTGCCCCTTGTCGCCGAAACCCAGTCTTTGAATGAACTCTGCAGCCAGTTCTCTTCCGTAATCGTAGGTTGAATCCTCCTCCAAGAACTCCTCCGCTTTGTCAACGCTTAAGGTAGTAAACTCCTTGGCCAGTTGCTTTACTATATCCTTTTTCGTGACCACTTTGGTCTCTCCCACAGCTGCGTAGATGTCCGTTAAAAAGCTCAATGCAGCTCGGGCATCTTTCTTCTGACTCACATAGTTGAAGGCACACGTTATGGCAATGTAGTCCTCGGCATTATCCTTGTTGGCATCCCTTGCATCGAACACCAAACCCAATCGAATTGGAGCTTGATGAATGACAAAGGATTCGGAAAGCTTAATTACACTCCTTGCTGTGGGCTGCAGTGCGTCTACCACTAAAACCAAGTTGAACACGTTCTTTCGGATATTCCGCAGCATGCCAGGAAACGTTGGTCGCAACAGATCCATCACCGAGGAGGGCCATCTTCTGTACTGTGCATCGTTCTCAATATCGTTAACCCACTGCACAGCAGTGTCGCGAATGTCGATAGCGAACTCTTTTTTGCTGGAGGCGGTAAGATCCAAGGCTAGAAGTGAACTGGCCAGACTGCCCCTCACGTTGTTGCTGTGCAGGCTTTCGAGAACACGCATCTCCGAACGCAGGGTCTCAATCAGGGAGTATAGATCCATGGTGTCCGCATCAAAGAACAGTCCGTTGATGAAGAGGGCACCATCTGGAGGCGCCACATTTAAACTTCTCCCAAACGCTTCCGTGTTGTGCTTAACCTCCGCTCTCAGGCCATCCGTAACTTTGTGTGCAAGCAGGGTTCTGGCCAACATAGGGAAATTGTGGGCAGTGTATTGCAGAATCTGCAAAGTCTCGTCTCCTTGAATTTCTGCAATGGCAGCGGCTGCCTGGAGACCCAAGTCCTGGAACTCCCAGGCTTTCAGTTGGGCAATCTCATCGTTTCCCTGAAGGAGCCTTTGACGCAATTGGTCCAGTGCTCTTTTTAGTGTAGGGTGTTTCTGCTTAAGTACCTTGAAGTCAAAGCCCTGGACATCGGATTCATTACCCAGATCCTCATCAGAAGAAGAGCCTGCTTCGGGCTTGGGTGCATCATCCTGACTCTTGTACTCGGTCGACTTCAGGTGGAGTTCCACTCCATAACCTGAAAGTCGAACCGGTCGCTTGTCCTTCTTGGCCAACTGATGGCGCAAGATGTAACGAATCTTGCCAGCGTTTGCCTCCTTTTCCAATAACTTGTGATAGGTGCGAAATTGAGAGCTGCCCAAATCGCCGTACAAAACCACAGTGCGGGTATTATTCTCACTGCCGGGAAAAATGTGGTCGAAGCTGTAGGTGACAGCGGCGCCATCCAAACTCTCCTTAGCCAACGGAAGATTCAGTTTCTCCTGCAGCTCGTTGAAACTGCAGGCCAATTCGGAACCCACTTGGGCAAAGGTGAAGCCCTGACACGATCCACTGCTCCTCAGCTCATCGGCCAACTGGAAGTGGGTCTGGATCCTAGGCGTCAAACTGTGCATGGATACCACCAACTTGAGCAGCGGCAGCTGGGGCGAACTCACATGATTCTTGACCAGCTCCAAAGCGGCATTGTACTGTTGCGACTCGGTATCTAAATAAGGAAAAAGGAATCAGTAAAAAATATTCTTTGCAAGGGGAAGTTCGCATTATAAGATATTTTGTTTTTATTTATTTGGGAAGCAATTTAAACTTGTTCTGTTTGGCTTTTACTTTGTATTTTAACCTGTACATAAAAGCCAGAAGCGATAAAAGTTAACTATTTATTTCCGATTTCAATGGTTTAAAATAACTTTTAAAGAGGAGCATTCAAGATCAAAATTTGTTTTTGCGTATTGTTGCAGAAATGACACTCTTATAATGCGGGTTCCCAAAAATTTTGTCCACGAACCATATTCATTCAGAGCCGTGTCCAATTTGGTTACTCCCTTAACGTAGTCCCAAAAGAGACCCGCCTGCTCATCGGCAAGATATTCGGCAATCTCCAAATACAAAGGCGTCTGTGTCCACTTGGCATTGATCAGGGTGGTGATTGGATAGCTCTGACTCGATTCAGCAGAAACCGGTGCGAATGATGCTAGGAGCACCACAGACACACACAAAACCAAGGCACGTAACATTGTTTCCACTCGTTTTCTACGGGGTTTTCACAACGTACATTACGGATCGGCCGAGGGAGAAGAACTAAAAGCTTTCCTTCTTAAGTAAATACACTTTTCACCAGCTCTTGATGGTTTTAGCCCAGTTTTTGTTAATTAAATTTAGAACTGATGTGGCGTTCGACCGGCCTGCCGTGCAGTATGACCAGCCCAACTGCAGATAATTATCGATATGGAATAGAACTTAAGGTATTTTCTAGACACTCATTTTATTAAAATTCCGTTGCATTAAATCATAAAAAAAGTTCGCCAGTAATTAAAAAAAAACAAAAATAAGTTGTTGGGGCGCAAAAAAAAAATAGATACATGTGTACACATTGCAAAAGAATAATTCACTGTCATTAGAAAAACTACCTTGTTTTTAGTATATTACAGTTTGTTGTTTTTGGTAGACTACCACTCTAACTTATTTGTTTACAAATTTCAGCGCGAAATTTTTTGCTTATATCTCAGCGCAAATATCGCCAATGAAATACACTTTAGAAGGCAACAATGCACGGGGTATGTAACAGGATTTTTCGAGAATTTATTTATAACTTTATTCGTTCTTATAGTTATTGCCAAAGCCGTACAATCTCTGTCCAAAGTGGGCAAGGAAATGTTCATCGAGATCGACCAACTGGGATTGCAAATGCGGGCCATAAACGCGACTCAATCGGCGGTGGGCAGTATAACCTTCAGAAGATCCATGTTTGAAGTGTTTGATATGCCTACTGTATCGGGTTTCTACTGCAAGATATCCATGAAGGGATGTTTGGCCGTGTTTCGGAATATGAACGAGGTATGTTTTATGGCTTAGTCATATAGAATAGTAATCGGGAAACAGGTATTTCAATCAATTTCAGGTCGAGTACTGTGAACTTAATTTAGTTGACAACCAGACCAATCTGCAGGTCAATCTCCGCTGCAAACTGGAGACCACAAAGGAAGCAACTATTTCCATCATAGATGACCAAAATATTAACACAAACATAGACACCGACCAGATGCCAAATACGTAAGTTCCGTCATTAATAATAGATTTCAAAATGGTACATTAAGTTATGACAACTTGTTTAACATATTATAATGCATAAATCAGGAAAAAATTGTTTATTTTACTACTTTCTTTCAACTGATAATTTATTATAATTTTACTATTTACCATAATTTTTCTTTTTAGAATTCGGGGAGATCACAAACTGTTCACTGACATTTCGAACAACTTTATTTCTTCGGAGGAGGAACTGACTTTGGAGGCAAACTCGGGTAGCTTAGTGGCCAAAAACTACATAGAAGGAGCCAGAGTGAATGATAAATTTATGCGAACACAGTTAAAGTTGAAGCCCAGCGAATTCGACCAGTACCAGGTTTCCAAGGAAACTATCATAACGTTTTGCATGAAGGAGTTTCGAGCCTTTCTTCTTTTCGCCGAGTGCTTAAATGCTTCGATGACCTTGCAATTCGATGATGCGGGTAGGCCTTTTTTGCTAAAAATCAAAAAGCATAGCGAGATTGAGTGCTTGCTCATTATGTCTACGTTGTCGCCTGATGATGTGAGCTTTTCTGAGGAATACTGTCAAAGAGATTTGACGGTTCAGGACCCAGAAGTCCGAGAGGCTGTTTCGAACCGAAAGAGCAGCTCTTCGGATGCAAAAGTAGCTAGCAAACGGAAGAGCAGCACCTCCGAACCGGCTGCAGTGCAGCCGAAACGTCGAGTTGAGGAGAGCCAGTTGGAATCAAGCATGGAAACTCCTCTCTTCCAGTTCCGGGCATCGGAGGCTCCTTCTGTCCAGCAGCCTCGCATTCTTGCTGAGGTGGACACCGTGGTCTTAATTGAAGACGAGGCGGAACAAGAGGCCCTCATGTTGGCAGCTGCCGATGCCGCTTTAGAGGCCAGCATGGCACCTGCTCCGGCGCCACCTAACAGCACAGAGGTATGCTTCTTTAACACAGACGATTCACAAGAACCAAAGCAAATAGAACTTTCCTCGGACGACGGCGAAACCATACCTCAGTCTCCTGAACGACCGAACAAGGTGCGAACCATCTTTTCGCGGTGCTTTCAAAGTACTTACGTTCCACGGGAGCCATCGCCGAACACCCAGGTCTATGCGCCAAATTCAGATACAGAGGATTAGTCTAAATTTGATCGTTGTTCAACAAATACAATGTATAGGTCATAATTTAGCTAGCTTTCTGAATGTTTATGTGGGGCAAAAAGCTACTGGTCATCACAGCAGACACTCTAGATTGCAGTTCCTGGGCATTTTTTTGGGCTTGCTGGAGAGATATGTGTGCCGACTGCAGATTAAGCTGGGATTTAATGAGCATTTGGTCCGTGGTCACTAATTGCTTTGAGGCGTTAAGAACAAAGCTGCGGGTAAAAGCAGTGAGAGATTTCCAAATTGCAATGTTGTTTTCAACTGTAATAAAATGTTCTATGTTAATAAGCTGCTACTAAATACTAAAGAAGAATAAGCTATATTACTTAGTTTCCGTTGAAGCAAATTATTGCGATAAATGGAGGCCGTATTGTTCACCTGGCTGCTTCTTTGCTGTTGTTCGTAAATGTCTTCATCGTCATCTTCGGTGGCCTCGCCTGAAACTTCAGCTGCAAAAATCTGTCCCAGGAACCAATTAAAAATTATTTTAAATGAAGATGCTTTTTAATTACCTTGTGCTTGTCTTGCAGTTCCTCATCTGATTCAGAGGCTTCTCCACTCACTAAATCAGCCATTGTTTAGGAAATCAACAATTTTTACAAAACGTAAACAAAAGTGATATGCTATACTGGCAGCTTTTTAAAAGTGTTGCCAGACCGCACGCATTAAACAGCTGCTTACATGGGCGTAGTTTTAAGGTTTTCATAAATATACGGCGGCTTACAGAAGCGATAATTTTTATATATAATAAACTTATCAGGGGCGGACGCAGGGGGGTGTCCGGGGGTCCGGACCCCCCAAAATCTCAGACTTTTTCAAATTTCCTTACAGCACACGGCTTTTCAACCATAAAAACTAAAAATTTTTTTTGGTCGGACCCCCCCAAAGGAACAAATTTTTTGATCGGACCCCCCCAAACGTAAAAATTTTTGATCGGACCCCCAAAAAACAAAAATTTTTCGATCGGACCCCCCAAAATTTTTTTCTGCGTCCGCCCCTGAAACTTATCAAGGAAAATTCTCGATTCTAATAATAAGTTTATGAGTTGTTTATTAGCTGTACTTATAATAGCGAATTTCTTATATCAAACAGTTTTTAGTGCTACATATTGAAAGGTGAGTTTGTAAGCAGACATTATTAAAAAACTTTATTTAGGACTTTGAACATTAACTTTAAAACGTGATTTAACTTTTGTACATAAGATTTGCACAGAGCGTGGAACACTGAACGACTGCCTATTTACTGGAAATATTTCTGTAGAGCGCCTGTTTCAAACATTCGTTTAATGTCTGTGCCGCCGCCAATAAATTTGCCATCAATAAAAACGCGGGGAACCTATAAATAACTTGGTTTAATAACTTAGGTTAAAGTTTCTCAACTGATGGTACCCACCGTTCTGGCACCTGTAATTTGGCCAAGAACCGCCTGAATCTCGTTGCCATCGGGATTTCCGTCGAGCTCTATAATATGGGCATCAACATTAAGCTTTCGGAACGGCTAGAAAGCAAAGATTAATCTTGATCCTCGGACTTTTGAAGGTCTTTTAACTTACTTCTTTTGCCATCGTGCAGTAGGGACAATAGCTTTTGCTAAATATCACCACTTTGTTGCTGGTAATTGTATTTTCCACGAATTTCGCTTGCTTGGAAGACATATCGATGATTGGCGACTTCAAAGCGGATCCAACTGCGCCCATAAGCTCAAAGTCAAGGAGAGGGTACGGAAACTTGAGGGATGTTGCGGGGCACAATAAAAGCTGCGACAGGTGTAAGCTGCGGAGAATTATCTCTTTTTTTATTGGGTTTCTTTAACTAATCAGATGTTGTGGTTCTTGCTAGAGTTGCCAGCCCTGCCCAATTACCATCGCGTAATCATAATCATTTTGGAATATTATTTTCGGCTTTTATATATGTTCATACAAAATTCAAGGCATCTGTAAGTTGGTGTGTAAAATGAATAAATGTCTTATAATTTAAAACTAAGTTCATTTAAATGTTTCTGTCAAAGACATTACGCGGCGTTGCCACATCAACAAATTCTGTAAAATGATAATATTAGGGAGACTCCAGAAGTTTTTTTTTTAAATTTAGCTTTGATAACAGTTCGTAGTGAATCTGTTAAAAAAGATTTACAAATCAACTTTGGCTCGTAACTTAATATTAGAATGTCCAATTCCCTTTTATGCTCTAGTTGTTGTCACGACTTCTGGAATCTCCTATTACATATTTAACAAATTACACGGCTTATTGCACTTAAGGCACAAAGTGGAGTTTTTTGCGAGGGCTAAAACGTTAACCGTTTAGAAATTGTTCAAGGGCATCCTTGGTCTCCACTTCGTTGGGTTCCAGGACTACTTCCTCTAGGGCCAAACTTTTGCTGGTGGTTTGAATTTCTGGAAAACAATATATTTGAGATAAACATTTTAATGGGCTTTGCGTTTTCAGTGTTACTTGGCAGCTGGCCGTGCTGTTTGAACTCCTCCATATCGCCACGAAAGGCATCATCAAAGACCGCCTGCCGTTCTCTCTGCAGTTGCAATAGCTTCTGCTCCTGGTCCTGAATTTTGGACTGGTGTTTGGAGGCGATCTGCTGACGATACTGTTCCAATTCGTTTAGCTTCCGTTGCTTGTGCCGCGAGATTTGAAACTGCTGCTCTAGGAAAAACTCCTGAAGCTCGCACTCCTCGCACAGATCCTCCAGTTTCTCAAGCTCGACCTCCAATTGTTGACCCATTTGCTCCAGGGACTGCAGAACCTTAGAGCTGACTTGCAGTTGGGCAATCAGTGTGGGAATCCCCGCCAGACTACTGTTTAGTTCACTGATGATCCTGCGCTGATTGGTGGCTTTGCATTGTACTCCAGAGATTTGATCGGCAATCGCGGCAGCCTTCTCCGCATTTTCCTCGTTGGCTCCATGGATCTGCTGCCAATCGTCTTCATATTTGGCCAACAAACTGCAACCCGCTGCCACATTCAGATGGCTGGGTACTCCATCGGTTAGCTGAAAGGGTGCACTTAGGGAGAGATTACTGCTTCTGCTGGAAGACAAACTCTCGTTAAGGCCCAATGGCGATGTGGGGGTCGTTATTCCGCTGGCTTGGCTGCTCCCCGAGTTTCCGGAACTGACACGCTGGCGATATTGCTGCTGCAGATTCTCAGATATCACCAGCCCCTCCTGAATCGCACTGCTCAGCTTCTTTTTAAGATTTCCAAACATCCTGTGGCCGCGATGTTGTATTTTTTTAACTGATCAGTTTCTAATCTTCTCCGTGCTGGCGTTTTCCATCGAAAATTAAGTGGTAAATAAAGAATCAGCTGTTCGGGCAGGTGGCGAGAGAGAGTGGGAGAAATCGGCCAGAGAGAGCAACAGTTTAATACCCTGCCCAAGGGGCGTACCTCCACTGTAAAATTACATTTTTTTAAATTATTATGATTACATTCACCCATTAAAACGATTATAAATTACATATGCACTTAAGGATCATTGAATAATATTTATGAGTAATAGCAATAACCACCAGGATTTATTTAATGAGTTCCCCTTATAGACCAAATTATGTATTTAAAAGACATTCATAAAATATATATTTATTCAATATTTTTGAACAGATATAAATCTCAAGGCCTATTTAAAAAATAAATGTATGTAATAGTATTTTTTTTTAAACCTTTTGATAATCTCAACACATATTAAAATTTAACGATAAGGACAAAGTGTTCGAAGCCTAAAATTCTTGTTTCCAAACAACAACTTTATCACACGGTATGATTAATCGTAAAACTTTGGGATCATTCCGCAGCAAAGTTGTTGGTTTCGAGAGACAATTCTCTTCGTTAAGTTAATAAATAATCTATAGCTTAACTAATCTTCAGTCAGGTCCACGGTCGTAGGAGCGGCACTTTCGGCCACCTGTTGCTTTTCATTATTGATATTGGGCTTAGGAAAAGGTTCAATAGCCTTTTCCTGTTTATCATGGCACTCTATTATTTCTATATCACTGTTACAAGATTCAGTTTCACTTAGGGTTATGCAGCTGCCGGCGCTGTTTGGGGAATCCGAGCCTGTATCCGAGCTTGAATAATCTTCATGGGTTTCGGAACTCGAGCTTACGTCAATTGTAAGGACAGTTTTTTCTTCATCGCTGGATAAAATGGACAAAGCATTGGGTTTGTCGGATTTCTCCTGCTCTTCGTCGGACATTAGTTCTCGAACAATATCGCTCAAAGGTGAAGATGGCCGAATATTGCTTTCTCTGCTTTGGTTGTTGGCATTGAGGACTTGACTGTAGGCCATGGCAACAGCCAAAGCCATCTGTTTTGAATGGTTAAGGTATATTTCCGAAGGTGGGGCTATAAGATTGTTGGGCGGAATTTCTCGGTCCCAACTGCTGCTACTTTTCCTACGACTCCGTTTTGACCTTTTGTGTTTCTTGGCTTTTTTTTTGTGTTTCTTCCTGCGATGTGAGCGACTGCGACTGTGACTAGAACTTCTACTTCTACTGCTACTGCTTCTCCTTCTGCTGCGTCGCTTTTTGGACTTCTTTGAGCGACCTCTACTGTGACTCCTTCGGCGACTTCTGCTGGAACTTCTGCTCCTGCTTCGGTCCACACTCCGATTTCGGCCTGCATCACGGTTGTAAAAGTAGTTCGACTTCCTCCTCTCATATATATCATCCAGATCCTGCAACTTCTTTTGACAATTGGCCTGCGTCCGTTCGTTTTCTCTTTTATTATGTCGAATAGCCGTATTTATAGTGCGGCCTAGAAAACGCTTATTTGGTTTGCCTAGAGGATTCAATTTTCGTTCTCTTTGTGTTTGGGTGTTCAAGCCGGATTTCTGGCCTTCGATTTCTCGCATCAGCTCAGCGATGGCTTGACTAGAGGAAAACAGCATTTTAATTAAATGTTGAATGGTATTTAGTAAATATATTTACTTTGTAAGTTCGGGAGAATCCATTTTCGTGTTTCGTTTGTTTTGACATTAATTTAGAGTGACCAACACGTAAGGAACCGAAATATGCCTTCTAACAGTGGCTAAATACTAAGAAGTACAAAATGTATCGATATATTCAAGACTCCCGATTACCACATATGTAAAAACACAAAAATTTGAATTTCCATAAACTTAAGGGGCACAACTAGTGTGACGGCCTAAAAAAGTCGTTTTTTGGGAAGTTTTACTAAAAAAAATACTTTATTAATTATTTTCAGAATATATTTATACATCTTTTAAGAATATACAGTGAAATTTTTTAAGAAAAATATTAAATATATTTTAAGTTATAGTCGATCTCCAACTGCGCTAAAAAAAGGTCCTTAACTGCTGCAGTGATTCTGGCCTTCTCCGTGAAAAATTATCATTTGCTAAACTAACTAAACTACATATTTTTAAATCCTTGAAGTGGGTATTATATATTATAAAGTAAATTTAATTTTCAGACATTCTTATTTCTTTGTTATAAGCATTCTCTATATCAAAACTTGAAGTTTCTAAAAATATATATTTTTTTATTCTGAACTAAACTATTTGTAAATCCTTAAAGTAGGTATTATAATTTTAGTCAAACGTTGGCAACTACATAAGTTTACGACCCTAAAAGGTATATGTATTCTTACTCAGCAAGATCAGGAACAGTTTTATGTATATAGATTTAAATCGTCAGTAGTTCGGTGTGGTTAAATCTTCATGCCTTTAACCCAAAACATGAAAGCAAAGTGATGAAAACTGTGGGTGCCACACGGCTTGTGGCTGTTAAAATAGGACTGGCCTTTCTTTATAGCTTCATTCAGTCCTGGAACACAGTGAACCCCAATATTTTAGCTTCTTTAGTTGGCAAGGACTCGACGAAAATAGAACTCAATCTCTATGTTGTAGCTTTTATAGGTTCTGAGACGAACAAAAGACAGACAATGAACTTCGTAGAAACAAACAAATGGTTTATCTTAATTATAAAGGTTGGCAATAGAAATAACAAAAAATGGCGATCACACATTAAAAAAACGTTTATTGTTAACAAAACATCATCTTTTTAATTCTAATATCACAGATTAATCACAATTAATCAACTGCAGTTGCCAACAACTATTTCCTGCCCCCTATCACCTGCTGCATCCAAGTCACGTATTTACTGACGCGCGTATAGATTCCCGGCAAACCAGGACGAGCACAACCGATTCCAGTGGACACCACGCCCACCAGATGATGCTCCTTGGACATCAGTGGTCCGCCGGAATCCGCCTGTGAAGGTAAGTGAACCAAAAGCATAACATTTGTGCTATAACTGCCAACTGAATACTCACCCAACACGAATCAATTTGACCGTTTTCGTAACCGGCGCACAGCTGTGTCTCCCCAATTTTGTTACTCTTTCCCAACGACTTGTATGACTTCTCGCACGCCTCGTTGTTCCAGATCTTAACGGTGGCTTTACGCAGAACGTCGGACCGATCGTTCTCCGCTTGGTTCTCGTGCGTCCAGCCCCAACCGGAAACCGTGCCAAACTCCTGCTCCAGGCTTCGGTGCCCTTTGTCGGATCCCACGCAGCTGGGCTGGATGTGAGCGGAGAAGCTGATTGGCTGGACCAGTTCCAGGAGGGCTAAATAAGGATAGTTTTTAAACAATTTTAATAAATGTATGGATAAAAACCTTACGTTTACTCAATTGACTCAGCCTTATCATATCATTTACCATATTGCCATATTGACATACAATATAAAGTTACTCAAAATTATAATAAAGTTTTAATCTACACATTTCATTACCACTATATTTAGGTTTCGGTTTTTTAAAATGAACGTAATTTTCTGTGATTTTTATCAATTCTTTTATGTTGCAAATAATTGTTGTGCTGCAAAGTTTGTATATCTTTAACATAAATTTAATTTTAGTTGACTAAGTATTCCAAGCCTTAGAAGCTTACGTCAGAATAAGATTTTTCAAAGACTACTTACCTATATCATGTTTCACGTCACTGCATTCGTATTGGGGGTGGGGCACAATGTTCTTGAAGTCCACTCTCAGTGCATCCGGACCATTTCCAATCCCGTTGAGATACTCTTTGATGCTGTGGAGACCCACAACGCCTTGGATTTGGGCCGGCTTCATGAACTGCTGCAACCCATTGCAGACGCAGTGACCCGCCGTGAGGATCCATCGCTCCGAGATGATTGTGCCGCCACAAAAGTGGCCACCACGACGCATAAGACTAACCATAAAGGGCATTTCGTTGCGTTCTGCCTCGCTGCCACCCACGATTTTTGGAACTCGAACCGAGCAAGGCTGATTGGTAACTATTATAGGAGTCAATATGGAAAGTATATTGTTTTAAAAGAGTAGGTATATGTATATATATATTTATTTATATTTGATGCTTATGGCAAAAAATATATTCCGCACTAGAATTAACCTTCAGTCAAAAAAGTGTGGATTTTATAATACACATAATTATATGTAACAAATGTTTTTTAAATAAAACCAAGTGGCTAAAAGAAACATTATTTTAAATACAAAGCTTGCAGATTATCGCAAAAAAAATTTTTGGATGGCATAATTGGATGTTGCCTTAGACTTACCAAGAATATTAAATTTAAACTCAGTATTTGAAAGCATGAAATTGAAATTGTTTAGATTGATGATCCGACTTTAATGCTTTTTTCACGTGAAAAATAAAAACGTGAAATTGAACATATAAATGTTTAATCGCAAATATCCCGAATTAAGCAAAACGTTGTGATTATAGGAATATTACTTTTAGGGAAACAGGAAAATTATAACCTTAAGACCACAGGTAGTACGTTTTAGAATTATTTTGATAACTTCTTCATAATTGATAGTTTTTGTTAGATGAATTCCGTTAACTCACAAGCAATTTGGGTCTGTCCACTTTTCACCAGCGACAGAATCGCGAAAAGGAATACGAGTTTGATCATTTTCTGTGAACACAACTATTGTTCTGAGCACCAAAAACCCGTTAAGCACGGTTCAAGCTTAAACGAAACTGCCGCAATAATTCTGTGCGCCAATTAATTTATATATAGGTGTCTAGGCGTCCTCTCTGTTCCACTGACTTATTTCCCGTTCGTCCAGAGTTCTATGCGGATTAGCCGCAAAGCTCTCGGAGCCCTCTCTCTCTTTCGCTCTCTTGGCCTGATAACAAACGGAAGTCGCCCACTTAGCACCTGTTGCCTCAGTCGCCGAGCTTTTTTCCACGCTGCACTGTCTGCCTGTCTCATCGTTTTGTGCGGGAGTCATGTGCACACGTTTTGGCATTTCAATTGGCTCGTCGGAGAATTAAGGAGCTGCGAAAAAAACCAAAACGAAAACAAAACAAAAAGTAAACAATAGCCGAAAATAAAGTTTTGTGTGTTTTGCGTTTTATGACCCATCGAAGTTCATGACATTGAATAGTGTACGACAAAAGGTGTGACAACATTTATGCTGAATAATTTGTTGGCGCCTCTATATGGTAGGTTGGTTGCAGCCCAGTTTATTGCCCCATTATCCTTATTTAAGTATTATATTTATGCGATTAACACGTATTTAAGGTGAACCGAGAAAATATTAACAAGTTAATTGTAAATCACCTGATTGCAATCATCATTGCATAATAATATATATTTTTTTAATTTCCTTTCCTTCTCTCCAAGATAAAAAACAATATAGTAAAATTAGTTTTTATTTTATTCTTTAAAATTAATTTTACTTCACTCGTTCTTTAAATATTTAAATGTTTATAATGGTATAATCTTTACCTAACCTTCAATTCCATTAAACACAATTTCCTAGACCTTGTAACTTCTTTAGTGCTTTAATTGTTACAGTTTTGTCATTGCCTGCATTTGGCATAATTTGGTTCTCACATTGGAAATAACCTTAGTCGTCATATTTCCATCAACAGTTGGACTTGTCATCGGGTCTAATATGCAAATGGAGACGTCTGCGTTGCATATGAATATTTTGATGGGACCAAAAATTAATTGAAATTCAATGTCGGCGCAATCAATGTAATACTAGCCGCTTTGGCATTAACATTGCCCTTAAAATTAACGCTATTAAAGCTCACCCCCTTAATGCAACTGGCGATATTGTAAGGTCGATTTATATCCCCCATCTGTCTTTCTAATATATTCAAATGCAGGTGGAAGTGCAATTGTGCGTCATATACATAATTACCAAGTGAGCAAATTAAGCAATCAGGAATTGAAACCGAAAGACGAAATTAAGACTGACAACCATAAATAATTCATTATCCAGAATCTTGATTCGCAGTCAAAGCAGACAAATCAGTTCAGTAGACCAGGCAAAAACGCTTGAATACTAATTGATTTCATGACTTTGGTTCCTTAACCGAAAACCTGATAACCATCCCATCCGAGTTCATTGGTCGCGGCAGTTTGTTGCTTTTCAGTTTCTCACTAAATGCTAATTCACATAACGAATCGCCTATTAAAAACACTATCCATTGTCTGCCGTTGACAGCCGATACCAAATATAAATAATAATAACAAACACGAGTGCGGGGCTCCACAGAAACAAGTTTTCAAGTGCATTGACACCCGCTTTTGGGCGACACTTAGAGGAACATTCAATGTGAAGGTCGCCTCGATTTGAGGTACTTTGGCTTGACAATTGTTTTTGCTACACTTTTGTTTTCGTTTGGCGAAGTTCAACGACGCTGCTTCTGGTGACTAATTGCAAGGGGGAAGTCTTTAAATGTTGTCAATGCGGGTGGGCTTCGAGCTCTAGGAAATGTTTTGGAGCTCAGTGAACCTATTAAACTGTAAGCTTTCCAGAGCGGATTTTGGGGAAGCCAAATTTTATTCTAAATACAAAGTTAGTTTGTTTGAGTTAAGGTGGGTCATCTTAATTATGGTTACGTCCTTATGTCCTTAGCCAAGAAATTTAAGCAATTGGTCGAAATACTATTTTTCTATATCCGTAAACTTCTCTAATTTTCAGATTTGCTATGAACCTAAGCTTTTGCTGTCCTTAAAAGTTATAGTAAATAGTATACAGTAATATGTAGTAATAGTATAGTAAAAATATTTTACTTTAATAATATAAGTAAGCAATAATAAAGACAAAAGAATAAAGTGTCATAAGCAAACATAGTGTACTGCTTAATAATTTTTCGAGATATATTATTTTCATCGGATTACATTTTTTAGTATTAGAGCACATAACTAAACTTGAATAAGCAGTTAACTTAATTTCATCAAATATAACTTCGTTATTGAGCAAGAGTTATTGCAATATGATAACAGGATTTTCAAATTTAACGCATTTTTTTCTGTAATTGTATAATAAATAAAATCGTTGTTCACTTACCATATAAGAGTATCAAAATTCACTTTCGTTGTAAGGATCACTTATTTGGTTTCAATTATTGCTCGAAAGCCAGCTGTTAAGTAATGAGGGCTTTCTGAGCAACAATCAAAATTATATAAGTGTCCGTTCAGGAGCTCTTATATAAAAGAACCAAACTTTAGCCAAAGGGTTACACTATTTTCAGAATCACAAAGCACAAGATGGGAGGATGTTATTTAGGCAGGCCAACACGTCTGCTCGGTGTGAGAGCCGCACCGGAACTGCAATACGGCTTTCCGGGCGCTGACGTTGTATCCTTGTGATCCTGGCGGAAGTTGCCAAGCAACACGAACGAAGGGCCATCGCGAGCCGAGCGAAAGCCAACAAGGAAGCAACATCCCTCGTCGGCAGCGGCTTTTATCCTTTGGGCCTATGCGGCGTATGCGTGTTATGCAAACGACAGCGCCTCGGCTCTCGCTCGGCATCCTTTTTCCAGGCGACCAATGAGCGTCCTTGCTCTTGTTTTTGTTGCTTTGGCCCAATACTAGTTCATTCTGCGCAGGCGTAAATTATGACAAATTTGGAATTTTACTTATAGGTAGTTTTGTGTTTTTATAGTTTGAGAGGTTTGATTTACCACCTCTGTAATATAAGCAGTTCTTAAATGTTTAAATGGGCTTTTTTAGTTTCTTTAAATGCAAAGTGACCGATATATTTAGGAGTACGGAAAAATGGGCTATTGCAGTTATTAAAATATTTATTGTTTGCATATATTTATATAGGAAGTGGTTAATGGCTACCGTCATGTATGCTATGTTCCACGTAAAATAATTAGTAATAGGTCTGTACGATTTAATGTCATTATTATATGTGAAATCCTAATAAAAATGTTAAATAGTGTTGATATTAAAAGCCTTGGAATCTTTAAAATAATGTTTTCTCCTCGAAAATACGTATTAACTTGTTAAATTGTATTTAATGTGGGTAAAAAGTTATACATTTGTGGGTATTGTTCACGTAATTGGACAGGTATATTTACTGCTTGAATCTAAATATGGAAGTTTGACAATTATGAGGTTTATTTTATAACTGATAATCTTTTGGTAAAAAATAAAAATTTTTTATCAACAAATGAATTTGATGAATATAAAATGTATTTCAGAAGCCATTCGAACTAATCAAATATAAAATAGAAAAGATCTTAAAAACTCTGAATGTCACAAACTGTATTTAAAAAATGGTTTCAATCTCGTATGTGCGGTCGTTGCAAAATTAGCTGTTGATTTCGATTTTTTGGGGCTAAAAAGGTTTTTCTTTCCTATCTTTTGCAAAGATCTACAGTTAAAACACTGTTACATGCTTACATTTATCGCACTTAAATTTTAAGATGTCAGGTCCTGAGAGAACATCCCATATCAGTTAACTTGGCCCCACCGCTCTTCAATTATTTTCGAGCAGCCGCAACTAAAACACAATCAACACATTCGCCAACTAAATTTCCATGAGCTGACACTTACATTTTATTTGGCAAATTGTGATTGACAAGCTGTTGACACGCTTTTAAGAGGCCGAGGGCCGAGTTAACCGGGAGATAGCCGCACTTAACCCCTTTCGCGGCAGGGAGATTTTTCGCAATTAAATATTGAAGCCGGCCAGCGGGAAACATGTGACATTGCAAAGAACCGGGAAGTGCAGCGCTTGCAGGCGAAGTGCATCAAATATGCTGGCTAAATTATTTACACAGTTGTTCGGGAGGCGAGGCCTGTGCAACATTTCAATATGCTAATTACTTTCTGACTCGGCCGGGGATGTGGCAAAACAAATGCAAGTGGCAAGTGGCAAGCGGCAAGCGGCAAGTAGCAAGTAGCAAGTAGAAGGTGGCAAGTGGGCGCCGCCGCCACCAAAAGCGAAAGGTAGGGCAAGTGCTAATCATTGCAAGATGCCTGCCACGATTTCCCAGGTGAGTGCAAGTTCTGTAACAAATGCCAAAATCCATCGAAGGCGACACTTCAGCCGAAAGAAACAGAAACAGCGAAACCTAGGCAGCGGTGAATGGAAAATGTGTCTACAATCCGGAGAAGGAAACAAGGCAACTTCACGGACCTGACATCATCGTCTCTGGGTATTCGGCAAACCCTTATCCATCTATTCCGCGGCATTGTTTTTGCGTGACAATTGGCCCAATTTATTATTCATTAGGTTAAAAAGTCACAGAACAACACAACACGAACCGAACCGAACTGAACCCAAACTGACAGCCAGCCAAGTCTCAGCCATTTGTAATGCCAAGTGGCGGCTTCCATCGGACTTCGCCGGGCGGAAGGGATGCCTCGATGGATCCCGGAAAACTCTATCATTTCAACAATTTAACCTGCAACTTTTGGGGAAAGCGTTCTAATTGATTTGCCGGAAAAATCTTGTTTACCTTTTCCTTTCTCGACATTCGGTTCAAGTTTAACTCAGACAGTTGTGGTTCGAAATTAGTTGTTGGCTAATTAGATTGCGAGAAGGCAAACAATAAGAAATCGGGTTTAAGACTATGCACTTAGGGATACGTTATTGGTTAAGAATTTTATTGGTTAAGAATTTTATTCAGTCAGATGGTAAGAAAGTATCAGTGGGG